TAGAGTGTTATAAGAGGACTTTGGAAGGACTTTCCTTGCTTGACCACACGCTAGTTTAAATAAGTTATTTAACCTTTCTGAAACTCAGTTTCTTTGTCAGCCTTAAAGTAGGACTATTAATTCCTACATAATGGGATTGTTTGAAGGATTAGATGAGATGGTGTGTGTTAACATCTCATGCGGTTCCTACTCCATGATGGTATTCAGTCGATGTTGGTTACTTTCTCCCGTGCTCCTTCTCCTTCGTTCTAGAGAAGAAACTAGAGCAAAACAGCCTTGCTACAGCTCCCCTACAAAGGGCAACATATGACCTGAAGCTGAAGACGGTTTAGAAGTGTACGTTAGTGAGATGAGCCCCATAGCAGCGGAGTGAGTAATGCTGTAACATAACTTTCGCAAATCACCAGGCAGATCAACTAACGTGGCTTGGCGCAGTTTACTGATAAAATAACAAGGCAACTTCCAAATCCAAGCCAGGGAGTCCCGACACAGCAGCCAGAGTCAAAATCCAGAATGACTGCATGGGCCTTGGAGCTTTGGCGTTTCAGTTGACTCAGACGTGCTGTAAATCTGTGTAAGTGGAAAAAAACAAAAGCGATTTCTCTCTGGCTGGCCCCCTGAATAACGGTCCCCAAGGGGCCTAGAGAAGCTTTCCTTCACTTGCAAAATCCTTAATCGTGTCTCCCAAATGTGAGTTTTCCATGTAGCCGCACAGATGAGAATTGCGGAGAGAGTAAGGAGAATAGATATGTCTTGGTCCTGAGGATGAGATTGTGGAACGAATGGCCAAGATCTGTTTCCCACATGTCTCCTAAAACGGTTTGAGTTTCCCAGGGCTCTGTCCTTGCCTCCAATCTGATGAATGTTTTTATCAGTGAGTTGGTTAGAAACACAGAAGGCAAGCCCACCAACTTTTTGAATGATACCGAGGTGAAAGGAAGTTTGGGGACAGAATAATACTTTTTAAATGATTTTGGCAGGCTCTGGGGTACTGAGCTGGTCACAGTAAGTTTAATTTAATAGAGGTAACGTTAAAACCTGTACTTCAAGATCAAAAGCAGAAGTACAGGTTAGGAAAGCCTTAGACTGCAAGGGTTTTATATGAAAAAGGTGTAGGGATTTCATTTGACTAAAGAAAGGTATGAGTCAACAGTATGATGTGGTTGTATTCAAAAGATTAGGGACCAGAAAAAGCAAGATAATCCTTCTACTTTACATAATTTGCACTAGTTAGACAATACTCAGTGTGTCGCATTCAGTGTAGGGGCCAAAGTTAAGAAAGATATTGATAAATTGGAATTGGTCTAAGGGAAGAGAAAAAAAAAAAGGAGAGCCAAATTTAAAAGATCTAAAAACTATGCTGTTTAAGGAAAACAAGGATATTCAGCTATCTTTTAGAGTTACCATATGGAAGAGGAGTAAACTTGTCTATTTTGCTCTGAAAGGCAGAAATGGGATTAATGAGAGAGAGTTCATGGAAACAGATTTTGGCTCAACAGAAGGAAAATTTTTGCAAATAATTAGAGCAGTTCAGTGACGAAAAGGACTATTTCATTAAATTGTGAGCTCCTTGTCACTGGAAATATTCAAGCTAATGCCAGACAAGAGTCTGTCTGGGATTCTGAAGGCTCCCAGGACTGAACGAGAGAGCTTGGGGTAGGTGACCTTTAAGATCACTTCAAACTCCCATAGTCTATGATTTAAGTAAGCATGAATGCCAAGGCTGCTTATGACATGCCAGAGTCGCTTTTTCAACTCTTGGCTCTGATTCTGACCAGCTGTGTGACCTTCAGCTAAGAAATTAACCATTTCTTGTTCCAGTTTCCTCATCTATGAAACTAAGGAGCTGGATTTAACGATGTCTAAGTTCTCCCTAGCACATTTGTCTCCTTAAGCATCCTCCTAATTACAACATGTTGGAAAGTAGAGTTTGAGCTGATACCTGCCATTTTTCTAAGTCAGCTTGCAGGGGGAAGGCTTAAAGACCAAAAACCATTGTTGATTCTGGGAGCCGTTGAAGTAAACTCTCAATTACTTGCTGGCAAGAGAGTGGGTGCTTGTGACTCTGGAATTTGTTCCCATGAAATCTGTGGCAGGAAGTTGATCAAATAACTGATAATCTGGTTTCTCTCAAACACCTGTACATTGTGGCCGAGTTCAGCAATGCCTTTGCAAACAATTTAAGAGCAATGTAGATCATATTACCATTGAATATAGTTCTATCTTTTACAAAGCAAACCTTTGTTCTTATTTCCTTAATGGTATGGCAGTTGCTGTTGAGCTTTTCTTGTGATCATAAGTACCAATATTTATAAAACAACTTACCATAATGCAGATACTTTTCTAAAAGTTTTATATAAATTAATTTATTTATCAGTTTGTAAACTCAAAATCTAATGAAGAATCAGTAGATTCGATCCTTTTTCCCCTACGGAAAAGGAGTACTTAAAATCCAGTTTAAGTCTGTCTTAATGGGAAAGAGTCCAGAATTCAGATCAACATTCTCACTCTTTTAGGCTTTGTTGCTGTTGTTCAATAACTAATTTCCTTTATGGTTCATTTGATTACTGATACTTTTCTTCTCTGCCTTTGCTAGGGGGCTTCATCCTCCACCACTGCTACCTTCTGGCTCTTCTATTTCTTCTTTGACTTCTCTCTGACTCCCACATCATTGTCTCCAAATCCTATCACTTCAGTTATTTTTTCCAAAGATCTTTGAAAATGCAACCATCAGTGTGAGTGTCATCGTTTGCTTTGATATAGATATAGAAGGTATAGGTAGGATTTCAAATACCTCCTCCAGTTACTGAGGTCAGCAGGGGAATAAATAAGTAAATTTATGCTTCTTGTAAGGACGTGAAGAATTTAAAACTTCATTCCCAGGCTCGCAGGTCTGGCAACACTCACTCCATCCAAGTACCACATTTTCTTCCATCTCTCTGTTTCCTTAAGTTGGAAATGAAAACAGCTGTTAAAAATAAGAGCCCATGAGTCAATCTTGAATCTCAATGTAGTAATTACAGTTTCCATCTCAGTTGGTAAAGTCCCTCCCAGTATACTGAGCCCCATCTCCCAGCCCCCTGGTTGTCAATTTTATACCAAGACCTTAATTTGTGTTTTCCAAACCTCTGAGATTAAATGCTAAATCAATGGCCAAACCAGAAAAAATAACAAGGAAGAAAATACTTTAATTTAAAAACTTGATTCTTGGGACATGCCCTTTTTCTGATTTAGATTTTGACCAAATCTCTGTGTTGTTATTAGAAATGTCAGTTACTGTTCCATGTTTTTGAAGGTGGAACTTCTGAGCTTCATGATATCTTTATGGTGAAGAATTTTGCTTGAAGTCTTGTAGAGGCTATGCTTTGAATTGTATTTTCTCTTTTCCAAGTTCCTAAGTCTTATGATCTAGTAAGCCAGTCTCAAAAGAATCTGCTACAACCTGTTAGTTGATTGTCACCTTTTGGAGCAGATTGATACTCTTTTAGTTCAGCTTGGTCCCCCATATCAACCGTTCTGTTCTTGACTGAGCAATCCCGATATCTAAAGCTCTGACTATCCCCCCCAATGAATCAGCTGCCTTCAATGGACCAATCCAATATTGCCCTATAAATGCAGATCATATACCATTGGCAAGAGAACTTTGTGTCCTTTGGTGGGAGAAGCAGGAGGCAAGACACTTGGCCCTATCAATCACTTCCCTTTACCTACTTTATTTCCCCTTTCAAAGATTTGATTTCTTTATTGTTAGATTAGATTATTTCTAAAATTCATTTCCCTGCTAAGATTTCTATAATTCTGTATCATTGTATCCTCCAAGAGCTAGTTTTATGTGTTGAAAATGGTCTTGGTCAGTTGGGGCTGCCGTAACAAAAATACCATAGTCTTGGAAGTCCAAGATCAAGGCACTGAAGGATTCAGTGTCTGGTAAGAGAGAGAGAGAGAGCATTCTCTCCTTATAAGGGCACTAATCCCAACATGAGGGCTTTACCTTCATGACCTAATTTTCTCCCAAAGGGTCCATCTCCAAATATCATCACATTGGGGATTAGGATTTCAACGTATGAATTTTAGGGGACACAAATATTCAGTCTGTAGCAGAAATGAAGACATTTGCATGCATGGTGTGATTTGTGGAATTCTGGGAAGGCCATTCAGCCCCTGCTCCCTCACCCACACTTAATATCCTACATTCACTCCTTTGTGGTAGGATGTTACCTCTCGGACATAATACCTTTTACAATCCAATATGTTCAGAAGGGCAAACCTATAAAACCAGTATGTGAGGTAGCAGCGTGTAGTACTTCAAAGCGGGCTCTGGAGTCAGACTGTCTGAGTTCATACACATACTAGCTGTATAACCTCACACAATTAATTCGTCTTCCTGTGCTTTTGGTCTCTTCCTCTGTAAAATGGAGATGATAATAATACTCATCTCAGAGGTTTTTGTGAGGTTTCAGTGAAATATGTAATATGCTTATCAGAACAGTATCTCACTATATGTGTTAGCCGTTATCCTTCATTTTCATAAATCAGCATATTATATTGACGTCCTTTTGACAGAAAGTTGATATCAGGTTGCGAAGAAGTTGGAGTTGTATCCAGGAAACTAGGAGGGGATGCCTTGGATCCAGACGCACTGTTCAGGAATGGTCTGCCTTGGTGAGGTGTTACAGTTGGTAGCATAAAGCCCTGAGGGGCCTAGGTGCCTGAGGGAAGCATTTACAAGAGAGATAAAGGGGGACAGATCTGCTTCTAGTCCTGACCAGTACACCCAGTAACTGATAGAATTAATCGGCTATTATGGTGAGCAAGTAACGTGGTATATGTCTGCAAGTGAACTTTGAATTCAGTACTTGCTTAACTTTTCTGTCTCATATTCTAGCCCTTGTAATATTCAGGGAATGTTTAGTCTCTGAACCATTGCATTTGAAGAACCATGGAAAAAATGTAAAATAAAATATTTTTCTTTGCTAAAAGCTCTTGCCTCTTTCTTTTAGATTACATAAAGCAGACGACATTTGAAGCCCAAGCCTTTTTAGAAGCTGTGCAATTCTTCCGACAGGAGAAAGGACACTATGGCTCATGGGAAATGTTCACTGGCGATGAAATCCAGGTAATGGGGGGCTCAGAAGTGTGGATCTTCTTCTCTGGGTCGTAGGAGGTCAGGGTCATAATAAACAATCAACCAAAAAAACCTGCAGGAGTGTAAGATGTGGTTCTGAAGGCCATTTCTCTCATTGTCTGAAAGCATTTGGTCAGCCAGCTGTTGGGCATCCTCTCCAGAGACGCCAGACTGGGTACTAAATAGAGCAGCCCAAAACACTGTCGCTGCTGTGCGAAGAGTTGCTTCCACTGTTTTCTATAAAAAGCATTATTCTTTCAAATGACCTCATGCTTCCACACTAGCAGCAAATGTCATCCTTGTGACATAATGCAAAGTGTGTAGTGGGGCTGTAGGTCAGCAGATTTGGGTGAAATCTCACCAAGTTATTTAACCTCTTTTAATCTTGGGCTACACCTCTGAAAAAAATAGGAATAGTAATGTTTGCCTCGCAGGGTTGTGAGAATTAAATGAGATGTTGTTGGAAAAGTATTTGATACACGGTAAGTCTTTATCTCTTGAAAGATTTATAAATCAAGTAATTAAAGAAAACAAATTGCAAAAGCATTAGACAGTTTTCTATACATTTCGTTTACCTTTTCTAGTTTTCTATCCTCTGTGGTCCAGTGTAACTTCCCATGACCTTGATTAAATGCCAGTCATAGGCTAAGCACCTCGGTTGGCTTGGTACCAGGGACATTGTTACAAATCTCCAAGGAAACCGTGTTTCATGATGTGACCCCATCCTCCATGAGGACACCAATCACACAGCTGATTCAGCCAGGAAGAGGAGGCTGGGTATGGGCATTATTTAATTAGAGGCACACAGGGTCCAAGAATGCTATTCTTTAGTTTCCCCTCATCTCCCAGAGTGCCTCTTTTGGGGACCAGTGAAATTTATTATTAGGGAACAATATATGGATGATGCCAGAGGGTGCTTTGCTTTTGTATGGTCATTAAACATCTAAAGCCAAAAGCATTTTCTCATGATGATGGGGCTATTCTTTATTGTTTTACCACATGTCTCAGAATCTTTTTTTTGAGAATTCTAAATTCATTTATTTCCAATCCTGAGACTTATTCAGGAACTTTAACCAATTCTTGGTTTCTGATATTTGGGGGAAGCACATCCATTTATAAATGTGAGAGGATTAAAAACTAACCATGCTTATGCCCAAGAGAAAAACAAAAACATAGGGGACACTGAAGCATTTGACACTGCTTGGCCTTTCATATAAACAAACATATTTAATAGATAAACCAGTATTAAAATACCTCTGTATGGTACTTTTTAATTATTTACCAGTCTCTTGAGGAGGGTAGAGCAGTTACTATTTCCATTTTGTAAATGAGGAAACTGAGGGAGGCATATAGCAGTTGAGTGACTTGCCCAGTTTTATTCATCCAGCAACTGTTTACTGAACCACCATATGCCAGGCACTGTGCTGGGTACTAGTCATCCAGAGGTGGGCAAGACAGAATGGTCCCTGCCCTGTGGAGCTGATAGTTTCAGTGTCACATGCTCAGGGGACAAATGGCAAAAGAAATGATAGCTTCTGACTCCTGGTCCATGAATGATCAACACCAACCGTGGAAATGGACTAAGGTATATGTGTATTCAGCTTCTTGAATTTAGCTATGCCACTTGCTTTACGTTTTTGTTTCTTTTGAAATCTCATATCAGCTCACATTCTTTCATGATGCCTTTGAAAGCACGTACTTAATAAATCCTTTCTGGGGGTTGAGTGTTGAGTTAGTTTTCTTTCGTTGACTTTCTGCTTTTTGCTTTGAGCTGATATGTGTGAGGTGCTATAAGGTGCAAGAGAGCTAAATGACTCATCGCTTGCCGTGGTGGTGAGGCAAGGCATACCTAGATATACAGAGAACGAAGTGTGTGGGTACCTGTGTGGGTCTGTACATATATGGACATCACAGAGCAATCGCGCGAGGCAGTCACAGGAAGGTGCTAATTTTGCAATACAAAAAATACCATAAGTGGGAAAATAGAACAAAAAACAGAGAAGAGATCAGTAAAAGCTAGAGTTATCAAGCGACTCCGTAAGAGGTTTTGTCCCCCAGGAATCTGAGTATCTTTGCTGAAATCACAGACACATAAGGTGTGAGGGCTGGAAGGTCATTTCAGGATTATTTGTCCCGTATCCTCCAGGTGAGAGAATGTTCTGAGAAGTTGGCTGAAGTCACAAAGCCAGTCTGTGACAGAAATACGTTTTGAGCTGTATCAAGCTATCCTTGGAGAAGCTCGTGACAGAAATGGCTTCTAGAACTTTCCTGTGGGGGGCCTGGTGGGGTTAAGCTTCACCGTAACCCCTTATACCTGGAGCTCAAGCAGCATCTGTCATAGAAAAAAGAGGTCAGGGGCCCAAAGAAGCTACCAAGTAGTTAAGGAAAATGCCGTGGCATAACCGAGTTTGGAAATATGACGTCTTTTGTTTTAAAGCACTGAGTTTATTTGCATTTTTCTTCATGTCTGCTAAGAACTTAATCATAACATTGTCCTAACCCACTCTATCCTAGGGGCCTATATTCAGAAGATTTTCAGCCTTGTTACATTACTATCTTCATTGCAATGACTCACACAGCAAGTATGGCAGGCCTTTATGGTGATGGTTGTTTTAGGCAAGTGTCCAGGCAAAGCAAATATCTTAGACTAGCTTGCCTGACAGACTATTAAGGTGAAAATATTTGCACATCAGTAAATATATTTTCTATTTGTCAATATAAATGTATCAAATGAGGTCATGAGGGAAAGCATTTTGTAAAATATAGAGTATTTACAGTTATTTGGTACATAGTAAATATATGAGAAATATATATATGAGAGAGCAACTCATAATTCCCACAGAACAGAGTGATTTTAAGACAAGAAAACTATCCAGAGTTTTTAGGCTTTGTCCGTATATTCTGGAGTTGGCTTTGTCTAATGACCTTGAATATGACCCTTTTAAATGGATTCTTTCACCCGTGGCCACTCAGTGACACAAAGGGCAGGAGGCCAACACCCTGGTCAGACCATGTGGCCACCCTCAGGAAGGAGAGTAGTCTCTGTGGACCTCACACCCTCCTCACAGCTTGCGCATCTGGAAGGTAACACCGTGGTGTGGCCTTCAGGGAGTGACCTGAGGTTCGTTCGTTTTGATCAACCTAATGGCGTGTTTGGTTTCTTCTATGTGTGATGAAATTTAAAAATCTCCTCTTCCCGGTGCTTAAATTTACACACACCCTTTTTTAAAGCAAAAGTGATATTTTTAGGTCCCTTATAGTAAAACTCAGCCGATCCTGATCTGAGAAGAGAAGGTTGAAGAACCCCTTCATTAGTCTTACTTATTTATTAGATTGGCTACTTTCTCTAGAATAGCCCAAGGGCTTTGGACTCTGCTCATGGAGAGCTGACCAAGGTAGGGAGTCCCAGAGCCAGTTCTGGGCAGGTGAGCGGCAGCACAAGGTCAGGGTGGGGTGGGGCTGAAGGTTAGAGGAAGACGATGGTGGTGCCAGGAAGAGGCACAGCTGGGCTTCAGCACTCAGAGGCTCTGCCTCCCCGTGGCTGTTCCCTAAGTCCCTCGCCCTGGAAACCCACTCCCAACCCCCTCCTTTTTTTTCAGACATATTTTCTTATCAATTCTGTAAGTTATAAAATAAAACCAAATTTCTTGGAACATTGTATGGGAATGACTAAAAGAAAACTATAAGCTCACTCAATGGAACATTCTTTTCCTTTGGCCTTTGTAACATTTTCATCTTTTCAAACCCCTTTCATGCTTGTGCTCAGATTCAAACCAATCTCTGCAAAAGGGTGAGTTAGAGCCATTATTATGATTCTTGAATTTAATACTTTTCAACTGAGATGATATTTCCCATTGGTTTTAGGTTCTGACTTCAGTCTCCTTATGCTCTTAGCTCACTCTCCCTGTGCCACACTTTCGTCACTCTTGGGCAGATGTGTTCCAAACAAGAACTTACTCTATCGGGCAGGATGGGGGGCCATCGATTACTAATTACCTACTTGAATCCAATTGTTAGACCTGCTGATTTCCAGGGAGTTTGGACATGTCAAGTTCCTCTTAAAATCTTCAAAAATGCTGGTTCACCTCTTGACTGCCCCCAGAGAATGGTTAAAAAAGATAAAAACATCCCCACCAATGAATTACCAGGACTAGTGGAAATCCTATCCCCATTATCATTTTTGTCACACCCTGAAGTTCCACATCACAGATGACAGGAGCCCCACTTGCTGCACTGACCCAGGCAGCCATCTCTCCCAGGAACCCACAGGCACACGGGGGCTGGACGGCTCACCCACCTCCACCCAGGAAGTGTTCTTGTTCAGTTCAGCTAAAGCATTACACCCTGCCGTAACACAACCATTGTGAAAGGCAAAATCTAGTGAGGTCATGAATATTTCCACTAGCATGAGGTTGACCAACAACCTCAAGAAAATCTTTCTTAATTCCTAAAGCTTAGTTTGAATTTTTATGAGAAGAAGGTCAATCATTTTGGACAAATATTATTTTAAATTTGTAGAACAGACGTCAAATGATTCTCTACTTTTCTGCCTGCCTCCATTCCCAGAATTACTCTTGTTCTTTTGTAAATCTTGGTTTGCAGCCTGATATTGAAAACTGAGCTGGGAGCCCCAAAAAATTCATGGTAAAAGTGAATTTGAACAATAAAGCTGCTCCAATTTGGGTGGGGGTTTTAAAGAATGAGGCGCCAGTGTTATGTGGAGCATTGTAACGTGTGGATGTGGAGACCACTGCTCAGATTCAAAAGAACCATTTTCATTGAGCCAAGCAAAATTTTAGGAGCAATTTGGGAACAAATTATTTTAAAACACCCTTAAAACTTTAGAACTCCTCCCATATTCTGCTCATCCCACAAATGCCCAGTTGCTTCAAAGCATTTATTACTCCCTTCTTCTTCTAAACTTTAAGGAGGATGGAGGTGGGGTTCAGGGGACAGTACAGACAAATAGCATGAAGACACTTAGATCCCAAGGGAGCTTGAGGAGGAATGATGCACTCAAGGGGTACAGATAAGGACTCAAGCCACCAAAACCAAGTCTGATTCCTTTCCTAATTTTGCTAAGGATGCCCTTATCTATAATTGAGGTTTCTCTTCTTATCCTAAATGCACTTGATGCTTCTAGTTTGAATATGAGAAGTTTGAATTTAAGGAACTTGTCCTTTCCGATGGGAAAACGTCAGCAGACATTGCTGTTCCTCGGGGATGTTTAAGAACGTTTACCCTCTAAGATTGTCTTCGTTGAGATTTCTGCAGCCTCAGAACCAAAGTTCAACTATTAACCTAACAGATTTCATGTAGCCCAGGAGAATCTTATGTAGCCAGGATAGGGATGGCCGACCATGACATCTTCGCTTGTCCTGATGCTCAGATTTAGCCATCACCAACTAACCAACTCTGGGGCTCTCTTCCACTCGGCAGATCTTGAGTAACCTGGTGATGGAGGAGCTCCTGCCAACGCTTCAGACAGACCTTCTGCCTAAAATGAAGGGGAAGAAGAACGACAGAAAGAGGGCCTGGTTCGCTGTAAGCGATGATTTTGCTCTGCAACTGAGCTACTCAAAATGAACATTCCCTTCCCTTCTCTCTCTCTTTCTTTTTAAATAATTCCTTCCCTGGGTGGAGAAATGCCTACCTCGAGTCTGCTCAATCTCACTTACATGAGGACTAATCCAAACAGACTCAAACTTTGAAAGAAAAATTAGAATGTGTATGAAGTTTTGTTTATAATAGTCTGAGATTAACCCTCCTCCCTCTACTGACTCCATCAGCCGCTTACGCACGACAGATCCCCGATTTATGTGTTGTTCTCTGTTTCAGCTCCTCGAGGAGGCCTACAACCTGGTTCAGCATCAAGTTTCAGAAGGATTAAGTGCCTTGAAGGAGGAATGCAGAACTCTGACGAAAGGCTTGGAGGGAACCATCCGTTCAGACATGGATCAGATTGTGAATTCAAAGAACTTTTTAATTGGAAAGATCAAAGGTCGGTAGAGATAATCCCTGTTCCTACTAAATAGGCTGTGCATTTAGGGCTCCATCACATAGTTGGAATGCATGGTTTCAGAGGAGAATTAACTGAGGGCGTTCGTAAGAGGTGATGACAGTTTTAATAGGAGTGTGCTAGAGGTGCTATGAGGAGCCTGGACCTCCCCGCAGAAACATCAGTGACACAAAGTGGAGGATTGTCTGCTTGGTGGTTGTTCTCTGCACTTCAGGCCCTGTTCATACTCTTGCCCAGCTTGCTTCTGAGCTCTTCTAATAGGTCCTACTTCGAGGAGATTGGAGAAGGCTTACCTGTAGCAAAGGTGTGTGTGTCTGAATCAGTGTGTCTGTCCATGCGATGCCTTCCAAAGCCAGATGTAAACTAACTTGAGTGTTTTCTGTTGACTGTTATCCATGTCTCTTATTCCTCCATTAGCACAACTAATCAAGAGTTGACTATACCTTGAAATACTTTATACAACTTAAAACTGCCAACACCCCACTCCTGTGCCCACATTCCTGTTATCTGGGGCTGCGCTGGATGTAACCGAGGCCATTCTCATGGCCTGAATTAAACCAGTCTCTCTCTTTCTCTTTTCCCTAAATCTTTGTGGTTCCAGTGTATTCCACATAAAATAGAAAAAGATTCTGCCCTGGATTACTGTTTGTTTCCTAAAAGAAGCCTTCAAAGGAAGTCATGATCAAGTCTTTTAATATCAAAAACACATTTTAAATGTGTTTAAAATGTTCTCCACCTTTAAGACAAGGAAGTGTACTTGAGGCTACATCCATAGGGGCTTCGAATTTGGAAAAACTTTGGGACCATTGGGTCCCATAGGGCTCTTGAGCAGCCTTTAGTTCTGCTCCGTAATCGTCTTTTTCACTCAATAAGCATTTATTCTGCTCCTGCTGAGTACAAGGGCTATGATGGTTCAAAGAAGAGGACATGATTTTATACATTGAAGAGGATATGAGGCACATCACAGATACTGACAGAAGGAAAAATAGGACAAACACCACAGAAGAGGCAGGAGAGGGAGGGCACAGTGGTTCCCAACAAGGAAACGTTTCAGCTTCAAAAGCTGTGGGGGCCCTCGTGACGAGAGTACTGTGGTGGTATAGGCTGATGGGAAAAAATGGTGCCATCAGGCAGCGTAAGAGTGGACACTTACTGAGTGGTTCCAGATTGCCACCTACGGTCCTAAGCACTTTGAACACGGTAAACTCATTCCATCCTCACCATACCCCTGAGAATACTTACTCTTAGGATCCCCATTTTAGAGAGAAGAAAACGGAGGCAGAGATTAAGTAACTTGCTCAAGAGTCCACAGCTTGAGTGTTTGCAGAGTCAGGGCAAACCCGGGCCTCTGACTCCACGCCTTCCCTCTTAATCACTGCTCAGCTGCTTCTCCCCAGCTGCCTTAACTAACATATGACTTGTGAATTAATATGTCACAACACAGGATTCATCACAGCAGCATCTCTGCACCTTGAAAAACTGCAGAGCATACCTCTGTGAGCTGTAAAATTTATTCGATCCACAAGGAAACCTCAGCAGACAACGGTTCAGGAAGCTGTGTGGTGGTTCCAGGGCTGTCCCAGTGGGTGAAATCTGAACTGGCCTTGAAGAGGCAGGAGGATGTTTACAAGCAGAGATGGAGGAAGGAAGGCACAGCTAAAAGGAACACCAAATACAGGTGCAGAGAGGAGGCTGCAGCCCACGGTGGCACGTAGGCATCTGGGGTCAGGCCCAGAGGAACATGCCCTCCCCTGCCCCTCCTTGGGCCTATCCCTGCCTCACTCAGTGGGGAAATCATCCAGCCGCTGCTAAATCTTTCCTGTATGTTACCTGTGTTCATGCTTATTCTGCAGTTTCAATGAGATGCTTTTCAAATAGTTCTTCTCTCAAACTTCATTGATGAATAATTCATTTGTTCTCCTTGCAAACAATTTTTCGTTTTGGTATCAAGCAAGTCATTAAAAGAAGAGTCATAGATTGTTCATATTTGAACCATACAATTGAAAGGTTTTCTTTTCCTAGCAATTCTATGACCTGTTTAATATTTTATATCCCAAATATTGATGTTATTCATAATATTAGTAGCACTGGTCATCTCAGGTTCTCAAAATAAGAGGCAATCTGATCCTCCCTAACTCTGAAATATTCTGCAAATGGAAATAACGTGGCCAGTCATCTCACTGTAAGTAAGTTATTTGCCGATAAATACTTAAGAAATGCACTTGAATTGTAGTTCTGTATCTGCAAATCAGAGTGTGACTTTGGTTAAGCCATCTTAACATTTCCAGGCCTCTTTTTCCATCTATAAAATAGAAGGATTGGACACCCAAATGAGTTTAGACTTCCTTTCTCAGTTCTGATACTTTGACAAGGCTCCGCGACTGACCCAGCTCCACAAAGCTGGCCTTTGGGTCCATGGAGCAAGCTCTGCCCTCTTCCAGGTCAGGCTTCCTTTACTAGAAGGCTGCTTCCAAACCTGGTGAATCCTGAGAATGACCTTAGCCCTTAAAAAATATTCAGAGTTCCATGTCCTGTGCAGACTCACTGAATCAAGCTTTACTGTGTTCTTCCTCTTCTAAATCAAAGACCAAGAATTGCCTCTTGGAACTGGGAGTATGGTTACATTTTTCCATCCCTCTTTATGATTTTCTGCACTCTACGTTTTTGTCACTGTGCATGTTGTCCTTGATTATCAGGAACAAAAATAGTGGTTTTTTAAAACTTGGGAGTGGGAATGGGAGATGGGGGGGCCAACTGAATGGGATTTGTTTCCATCTGCCCAAAAAAGACTGTACTTGAGTTTTTAAAAATTCTCTTGAGGAGGGGAGAGAGGAATTGAATTATATCGGCTGATTACCTCTTAGAGAAATGAATTAAAACGTAATAAATTGTTATATACAATGTCGAATCATTACATTGTACACCTGAAACTAATCTAATATTATATGTCAATTATGCCTCAATTTAAAAAAAACTTAAGTTGTGTTTTTAGAAGACAGACTATGCATATATAATGATGGTGATTGATAGTAAGCAGGTGGGTTTTTCTATTGTATTAGGCATTGCATGTTCTTAAGGACCAAGCAGAAAAATTCATTTCCTCCTAGGGCAGAGGAAAGTTTGCGGAGGGGAGGTATTCTGTTTGTTCCAATTCTCAGAGCATCTAATGGTTGTCGGTCATGGTGAATGCTGGCACAGGACTCCCTGTGCTGGTGTGTCTTACCCATTTGAGCTTGCCTTAGCTGTTAAATGGCTCTATAGGGCACTGTTCAGCCCTGGCCAGGCTCTAGTACCTTTGAATCCAATTTTGCTACAAGTTGTGGTTTTCTGGCTATTTCCTACCACAGCCATGGTGGCCCAGCCGGCAGAGAGAAGCTGTGCAGAGAGTGTGCAACCATTCCTGGCGTCCATTCTGGAGGAGCTCATGGGACCTGTGAGCTCAGGATTCAGTGAAGTGCGCTCACTCTTTGAAAAAGAAGTGGATGAACTTAGCCAGAACTTTCAGACCACCAAAAACAGTGCCCAGCTCAAGGAGGTAGGATATGAAGCCAAGGAGTTGAGTGTGAATGCTCTGCCTGGGGCTGCCTTTTCTCTGCAGCTTTATCTGCATTCATCCATTCTTTCCTTCTCTCCTTTGTCCCTCTCCCCTCACTTCCTTCCTTCCATTCATCTGCACTTGCATCCGTTCATCTAGTTTTTGTTCCATTCATCCAACCACCCCATTCAGCCGTCCATTCATCTATCCATCTACCTGGTTTCCTTTATTAATGGTTTCCAAGTTGCAAAATTAGTAAGATGCTTGTACGAGGGAAACAATATACTCAAATATACATATATATAAGAGCAAAATTCATCACTCATACCCACCTAATCCTAGTCCACCTCCAACTCCCAGGACACCTCTGCTCCCAACTCCCTGAATTAACTAATATGAATAGCTTAGTATGTGTTTTCACGTACTTTTTCCTTGTTCCTACAAATATACAAGCGTATATCCTCATTTATGTAAATTTCATTTGTTGGTTTGTTTCCAAAATTATAGACTCATGATAAAAACCAATGTTTCTCAAAGTGTTGTTTCTGGACCAGCAGTGTCATCATCACCTGGCTGTTAAAAATGCAAATTATCTGTTTGGATGTACAAAATGTTTGTACAAACAGTATTAATTAGCAATTGTTAAAAAAAGAAGAAAGAAAGAGAACCTGAAGCAATTGTGAAAGAAAATAGGCAAATGAGGACAGGTTTATTTACAACGAGTGCACACATGTTTCAAATGCACACACACACAAAGAATGCAAATTCTCAGGCCCCCACCAGTGATTTCCTGAATCTGGGGGTAGGCCCAGCAGGCCGTTTCAGCAGGACCGCCAGGGGATTTGATGCACCTAAAGTTTGAGAGTCACTGACAGACAACTTGGCAGCTTTGTTTCACACCTGGCATGTCATGATGGACATCCCTTCAAGTCAGTGGATAAAGCCAGATACCTCTGTTTCTCTTCCTTTGTTATTTCTTCATGCACACATGCACATGTAATTGTACATAAGCAAGATCATTTCATAAATATTTTGAGATTTCTTATTGTAGCCTGTTTTAAACTTGCTTTTACTCTGCCTCTTCCCCCACACCACCCACCATCCCTCAAGTAACCAGCGTTAGCCAATTAGCATATGCCATTCTGTACTTTTCCCCATGCTTATATAGCATATAAAACACACATTTATAGGCTATTTTTTTAGATTGCTTTCTCTTAGAAAAATGGAATTATCTTATATATACTACTCTGCTTATCAGTTTCCTCATTCAAAAACACCTCATGAAACTGTTTCCAAGTTAACTGTCCTGGCTCTAGGTCATTCTTTGTAATGGCTGCATAATATTTCACATATGGATACAGCACGATTTAGTCACCCATTCAAATGTTGCTGGCACCATGGACAAAGCTGCAATAAATAACCTTGGTACATATATTCTTATACTCTGATGCTTTTATTGCCATGGGCTAGATTCCTGGGACAGGATTGCTGGGTTGAAAGGTAAGTATATTTCTCATGTTAACAGATGTTGCCATTTGCATTCCAAAAAAAGGTTTGAAATTTTACATCCCTACCAATTATGAATAGCAGAGAACTTTCTCCCTCAGATTCCCATCAGCATTAGGTATTATCACTTGTTTAAACTTTTGCCCATCTGAATGGAGCAGAGTGGTAACCTGTGTTTCCTCTCCTGTCTGCTTATGTGATAGTTCTTAAAAATAGGCACATTACATATTGTGTGACAGCATGCTTTTAATCATTAATTCCACTTCAGTGGAGCTCTCTATAACTCACTTCTTAAAGGGAGTAAGGTTTTCCCTTTATGAAGACAATGAGAATGGGCTCTTTAAAAATTCCTGTTTAGGGCCAGCCCCAGTGCCCTAGTGGTTAAGTTGGGCATGCTCTGCTTGGGCAGCCTGGGTTCCGTTCCTGGGCGTGGACCTACACCACTCGTCTGTGGCCATGCTGTGGTAGCAGCTCACATACAAAAAGAGGAAGATTGGCAACAGACGGTAGCTCAGAGTAAATCCTCCTCAGCAAAAAATGTAAAATAAAAAATTTTAAAAAATCCTGTTTAGAGAAATCTTGATGTCTCTCTTTTCCGTGGCCTGAAAATCTGGTCATCCTGTATCATTCATACTCACTCTGTGTCACTCCACAATTTTCTCTAAGGGCTCATTTTCAGCACCTTTCTTTCTGTCTTCTCCACTTACTCTCTTGTTTCTTCTAGATCTCCAATATTCAATTTTTAAAATGATTTTTAAGTAATCTTGGAAAATAGGATGCATTCTGTTGGCAACAATACTTGTAGCGTAAGAGTATGTTGATAACACTTGAGGTCTTTAGTGGACGAAGTCTGTCCCAGTCCTCTTGCTGGAAGCTGTATGGCCTCATCAATTACGTTATCACCTGTGCAAACTAGAGGGTAAGGGACTGCAGTTTTAACACTGGATGCCTCTCCCCAGCCAGGCCTCTGCTATCACCCACCTCCCCACCCACTAGCACCATAGAGACCCTACAGCAGAGGGGAGCTCCGTGGGGGCTCTGGCTTCACTCCTAGAGTCCAGGAGTCCAGGGAGGGCATCCTGACCTCCTTGGGATTTTCTGAGAGGAATGGTACTCATTAAAGTAGGCTTTGGAGGCTGTGGGTCCAGCAGCAATTCCATGTGCCACAGAGCCTGCCTGCCTAGTTCTTAAGCTCTGGAAGTGGGAGCTTGGAATCCATCAAGAGCTTAAGAAGATGGGGCTCCCTGAATGCACCCCTGGGTCCTCCCATCGTCCAGTTGGTTCTTCTCTCAGTCTCTGTCCTATCAGCAGAGCTGCCCCAGGGACTCACTGAAGGAAGGAAATAAGACAATGAGGACGTCACGGATGCAGTGACCTGAGATGTGATTGACTCTGATAACATACATTTGATTGTTTAGAATCTGTGTAATCTCTAATAGATATGTAATATGCTCCCTATGTCTGATCATGTCTAATTTTCCCCTTCACCAACATGCAGAATCTAGACCGGCTTAGGCATCTTCCACTGGATTCTGTGAAGATGGAACCTTGTTACAGTAAAGTCAACCTGCTTCAGGAGCGCTTGCAGGATCTCAAGAGCCGCTTCAGATTCCCCCATGTTGATCTGGTGGTTCAGAGGACGCAGAACTACATGCAAGAGGTGGGAGCGGCAGGGGCATCCGTGGTGGGTGAGGATGAGCAGAGCAGAGAAGCGCATGCTGACAAATGAGACTGGTGCGCTAGTGCCGCTCAGGGAAGTGAGGCCCATGTCTTTAGTTATCTTGTTGAGTGAGGACGTATTTCGTCCTTCCAGCTGGCTTCATCTTTATTCCATGTTGATGAACATCATAAGAAGAATATCTCAGGGCAAGAAAGCGGCATTAATTGATAATTACTTGCTTTTAAACTTGGCTGCACATTAGAAGCATCTGGGGAGCTTTTAAGAAATGCTGATGTCTAGGGCCCACCTCCAAGTGATTCTGATTATATATACATACATATAGATAGATAGATAGATAATTTTTTTAAAAAATGTTCCATACTCTCATTCCCACTGCTTCTAATATGCAGCCAGGATTGAGATCCACTGGCTTAAATCAATTCCCAAACCTAGTTAAGAATCAATTAATCACAGCTTCATATTTAGATTTCTTCAGTTTACTTGATAGGTTCCTTTTCTTCCCCACAAGAAACAGGAATGAATAGCACAAACTCTTTACATATTATAGTGCTTTATAAGTGAAGAAAGGGTGTGATCATTGAAGCTATAAGAGCGCAATTCTATTTCATAGATGTTCCGGGGAGGTTACTGTGGGGCTGGACGCTGTACCAGATCCCACTTCAGGGAGCTGATAGGGAGACAGAGACTTAGATAAATTCACTACAGTGTTGAGAGTGCTGTGAGAAAGGTCTGTGTTGGATGCTTTGGGATCACAGGTTTGGGGAAGAAAGGAACATTTTTTTCTTAAAAGTTATAGGCAAGATTAAGTGATCCATCTTGTTATCTAACCTCTGAGTTGTGAAGGATTAAAACTGGACAAGGAATAATACTGGATAGCAGTTTCACAGCAGTCCCTTTGATAATCCTGAACCCGGGTGAAACTGATGCGGGCACCAGTGCAGAGAATAAGAGATCTGAAGTGCTTCCGTTTCCTGACCCATGAGCGTGTCAGCCGCTGTCTCCACCAAGCCCTCAGCCTGCCTCCCTTCCCAGCCTGGCAGAGAAAGGAAGAGGACTGAGGTGGTAGGCTGGAAAGTGGGGAGAGAGACGTGCTGGCGTGGTTTACATCCACCCAGAAGTGGAGGTGCAGAATTAAAGCAGCCAAAAAATAATTGGACAAGGCTCCCACCTCACCTTGTTAAGCCCTGGCTGCAGGTACCAGAGAATGGAGGAAGGGGGTGACCACAGGAGATGGTGGTGTTCTCAATTCCAGGGTCTTGGGTTTTCTGGTTCAGAGCAGAAGAAGAGGAGGAAAGAAAATACATACATACATACATACATACATACACATGCGTGTGAGTGTGTTTATTTTCCAGCCTCTTACTGAGCCCAATGTGGCCATGTGCCTGTTTATTGCACAATCCATGCAGTGGGATAAGGACCTGTTGCCCAGGGTCCCTCTCAGAGTTGTGCCTGAGGGTTCTCATCTCTGATGGTCATGCCCTCCCTTCTCACCAAGCCGACTTAGACGTGGGGGTAGTGATCCGCCTCTGACTGCGCTGTGTCTGTGTTGCTTTTGGCTTCTAGCTAATGGAGAATGCAGTATTCACTTTTGAGCAGTTACTTTCCCCGCATCTCCAAGGAGAGGCCTCCAAAACTGCGGTCGCCATTGAGAAGGTTAAGCTTCGAGTCTTAAAGGTAAAAAGCGTTCTCTCATTTGTGAGAAGCATAAAACAAGAATGTGATCCCTATTTCTTCAGTTAAGCGGAATCACAGGTTCTCATTTTCAACCGCCCCCTTTTCTTTCTAACCTTTCCTCCCTGTGGCCCCTGTAACCATCATCTAGCAGCTGGTCCCCAGCACGACTTTTATGCCTGTCCTGCCATCTAGTGGCCACTTTAGGCAGCGTGAGTCCTCAGCATCATTGCCCATTGGCTAGAAGTGACATGTCCCAGCTTGCTTTCTTAGCAATTGGACTTGATATTTATTGTCTGTCCAGTTTAAACAAAGCATCGTGATAGGTATTACATGAAATATAAAAAATAGGCAAGGCACAGCCTCCTTCTTCAAAGAGTTTACAGTACAGTAAAACCCATTTAAATTAGCCAGCATTTTTTAGAAAAATCAAAATAGCATGGCAAAGGAAATACTCTGAGGAAAGGATACCTGCTATATGAAATTGTTTTAAATGTGCTTCATGCATAAGTATATATCAAAATGGCTGTAATACTAGGAGCTTGCACAAATATGGTATATTTTTAAAGCTCTTTTTAAACCTATCCTGTTTCATTTGAGCCTCACAAGACCTTGTGAGATAATTAGAATATGTCCCCATTATAGAGATGAGAAAAGTGACTCTCTAAGAGCTCACATAACTTGTGTAAGCTCAACAGGCTAGTCAATGGTGAGCCTAGAGCTAAAACTATCCTTGAACCTAGTCCACTAATTTTTACTACCTACTTCCCCTAAACAGTGCTTTGGAGCAGAAGATCAAAGTCTCACAGAGCCTAGGAGGTGGTCCCTGAATTTCGCACCCCATCTTGATGCCTCACAGGCAGTAGAAAACTTTGGTAACCAAATCATTGAGATTAAAAGCAATATGGATCATGGTAACACAAATAATAACGAAGCTACCATTGAGAAAAAGATAGTATCAATGTCAGTATCGCCTCTAGTGGCAGGGCACGTTATACCTGTTAGGACACTCCATTTCTTCTCTGGGCACTTGTAACGACAAGCACATGCTTCCTAATGTTAAGCCAAAGTTCTCACCATAGGTAATTCTAGTTCTACCCTCTTTGTTCATGTCCTTCTTCCACATGGTATCCTTTGGTTGTTTGAATAGGGCTATAATCTTGCCCCAAGTTACGATCTCCTGTGTGTATAAATGACTTCATCTCTTTAACCGTTCTTTATTTGGTCTGATCCTCCTGCTCCCATGCCCGTGACTCTGGTCCAGTTTGTCTGTGACCCCCTTAAAGTGACAGCTAAAACCAAACCCTGCTCTCTAGGTTTGGACGTTCCATGCAGAACAGAGTAAATCATCGTCTTTCTTGTTCTAGATACTAAACTTCTTTGGTTAACATACCACCATGTTAATGTAGCTATGAGCCAGACTCTCTCTTCCCTTGTGGAAATCATTACAACCTACTGATCCTGCTTTCAGGATGTAGAGGAATGAAGGAGATAGTCCTGGCTCCCATGGACCTAGCCAGGACAGGGGTGACAAAGCACAAACTCATCCCTCAGTTCTGTCCTCAATTTCTTTATAACACAGAAGTCACTCTGTTTTCACTTACCTCTGTTTCCATATCTGTAAGAGGGGAGGATAAGAAGGGTCGTTATCAATCATAACGTCCACCTAGAGTGTGAGAGAATTGCATAGAAAGATCTCTGAGACCTTGGAAACACCACAAGGATCCTCAGAAATTAGGGGGAAAAGGGAGACGAAGTGAGTAGCTGAGTTTTTGTTTAAGCGAAAGTTAACAGCTTGCAATGTTGCTATTTAGCATATGTTTCTATCTCTGTATTGACAGCAATATGATTATGACAGCAGCACCATCCGGAAGAAGATATTTCAAGAGGCACTGGTTCAAATCACACTTCCCACCGTGCAGAAGGCACTGGCGTCCACATGCAAACCAGTAAGAGGATGGGTTATTCCCAAAAGCCTGCCCTTATTGCCTATGAAGTTCCAGCGAGTTTTTTTTGCCATGATGTGCTTGCAAACGGTAGCTTAGACCAGGGAGCGGTCAGCAAACTTTTTCTGTAAATGGTCAGATAGTAAATATTTTATGCTTCTTGGGTCATACTATTTCTGTGGCAGCTACTCATCTCTGCTGTTATAGTGCAAAAGCAGCCACAGAGGATACACAAACAAATGGGCATGTTTGTGCTCCAGGGAAACTTTATTTACAAAAAGTAGCAACTGACTGGGTTTACCAACCTCTGGACAAGACAAAATCTCAAAGGCTAACGATCTGAGTTTGAGCCAAGTTAAGGGTTGTCCTCGAACACTTGAGGATGCCAGGTGTTCCTCATTATAGTATGATTCATAGGTCCAACGTGTCCTCTGACACTTGACTTACTCCAGGAAAAGACCTTAGGTAACACGATTACAGAAGGATGTTTGTTCTGTTAAATCCAGTAACGTTTGTTTATGGAAATCAATGAAATTGAAACCCTTTAAAGCTGTTACAAACACCAGTCAACCAGTGACAGCCATGATTATGAAGGTGTGAGACTCAGTCTGCAGAGCAGAGTCATGGGTGAGCTGACTCTGGAGGCTGGGTCAAGACCTGGGCTCAAATCCTGGCTTCTCTGTGTGTCGGCTCTGGGGCCCTGGGCAAGTCACTTTTCCTCTCTCTTGGCCTACATTTGATCTTCTAGAAAATGGAGAAAATCCTAGAAAATCTTTCTTAAGTTTGAGAAGACTAGAGTGATCCAGTTAACATTTGATGAATGCTTACCTCGTGCTAGGACTGTGTTAAACACTTTGTATGGATTATCTCAGTGGTTCTCATGACAACTCTGTTAGAGGGTGCTATTTCTATCCTCCTGTACAAATGAGGAAATCTGATGGGTTAAGTAATTGGGCCCAAAGCCACAGAGCTGGTAACCGCCCGCTCACACTCGCTGATAACACGGTATGTGCTCAGTAAAGGGTACATTCTACTCCTGGTGCTACTTCGACATTTCAGAAATGATCTTGGAGCAAGTGATAAGGAGATTTTTAGAATTTAAAAAGGGCTTTTTGGCAGCTTAGTGAGCCTCTAAGCCTCAGAACATTAAAATCCTTGACAGAGTTATTTTACTGTGGAAATTTCTTCGGTCATTTTTATGTATGTCTGTAAATGCTGTTTTTCTTCAAAGGAGCATCAGCATATCTAGTACCTGGCATTTATTTTGGGGGGTATATATCTTTCATGGAAAAGGATTTGATGGAGCCAGGCGAGTAAAGAATCTGTCCATATGAAGGTCACTAGGCCATATGTGGATGGAAAAGTTCATCTATCCAGGGGATGACTCAGTCTACCCCTGAATATGTCTGCACACAGACATTCTGATTAGGGCATTTTTCTTTTTCAATCCCAAAGGCAGTTTGGGGGCCTTGGAGCCACCTCCTCTCAGAAGAGGAGACGATGAGGAAAGTCCCCCTTCTCAACTGCTCCCCTCTTTCTAAGCATCAATAGAGCTATACCAATCTGTAAGAGGCTCTTGTGATTTTCAATCAAGAGACTGGTTTCAGAGGGCCGGCCTGGTGGCCCAGCGGTTAAGTTTGCACATTTCCACTTTGGCAGCCCGGCATTCGCCAGTTTGGATCCCGGGTGCAGACATGGCACAGCTCATCAAGCCATGCTGTGGCAGGCATCCCACATATAAAGTAGAGGAAGATGGGCATGCATGTTAGCTCCGGGCCAGTCTTCCTCAGCAAAAAAAAAAAGAGGAGGATTGGCATCAGATGTTAGCTGAGGGCTGATCTCCCTCAAAAAAAAAAAAGAGAGAGAGACTGATTTCAAAAGAATCTGTGACTGGGAGTTTTCGGTAAAGACAGGTATTCTATCAGTGTCAAGAGATTTTTAAAAATCTGGATTTACAGAACATATAAACTATGGGAGTATCTGCTTCAGAGAAGCATTCTTTATTTGACAAAAGTGTGTTTCCTTTGGTTCTTTAAGTCACAGCTTCCTAGGTCTGTGGGGTCAACCCAAGCTGCACAATAGAATTGCCCAGAGAGCTTTAAAACAAATCTGATTCCCCAAGACCCACTCTCAGGGATTCCAATTTAATTACTCCAGGGAATTAAACATACCCAGTTCAATCAATTCAATATGGAAGACTGTTTGTAAAGTTGGACACATTGCAACAGTATAAACATCCCCAGAAATTATTCCTTTCCACAGAATTATTTAACTGGTTGAAATGTTAAAGGTCTACTGTTTATTTATTCAGCAAACATGTATTAAATATGTATCAAATATGATCCAGGTGCTGGGCCAGGCCAGCATCCCTGCTGTCCTGGAGTTCACAGCCTAGAGCTGTGACAGGCACACAGTATGCCGTGCGATGAGCACAGCAGTTGCCTTACAGGGAAGAGCAATGGCCGGAGTTCCGAGGAGGCCGCCCAACTCTGCTTATGGGGCCAGAGAGGACTTCCCAGAGTCCTGCTTTTGCCCAGTCCTGAGGGATGAAGAACAGTCAGAGGAGTAAGGAGTGGGAGACCACATGGGGAGACGAAAGGTAGTTGCAGACGTAAGCCCGGGCCCCTCATTTTGCAGAGGAAGAGAGAGACGAAGAGCAGTGCTGTGGCTTGCCCAGGGTCCCACAGCTGGTCCAGGGCGGTGTCCAGTCTCCTGGGCAGTGCTCTCTCCATCCAGTACTCATCTGTGGGTCAGTTCTTGTCTCACAGACCCTCTCGAGGCCATGGAAGCTCATCTCTCTTCAACCCTTTGGCTTCCCCTAGGATGGGTATAAAGTGACCCCATTATTGCCCGCTGGATCTGGTCCTGGGCCACAGACCCCCCAAGTCCTAGCGCTGAGAGTTATCTGAATGTGGTGGCTTCTGATCGGCTGCTGTAAATCCTCCTTCTAGCCAAAGGCATCAAATCCCACTGCTACGTCCCCAGGTCACTGAAAGCCAGGTGTGGGGAGCCACCTCCAGCACAATGAGGTGCAAGGCTCACTTAGTTAATCCCTGGGACATTTTGATCTCTGCCCTGTCCTCCTGCTGATAACAGGCAAACCATTTGGAAACTCTTGGAAAGCAGGAAGCATTAAAGGATTTTGCATCATGCCTGGGCTGTCTTAGAGGGAATCAAGGACTCCCAGGGCCAGGTGGAGGGGAAGAGGAGAATGTTCCTGAAAAGTCCTTGACTAGAGATTCCCCACATCTGAGAAGGGGTCCCATTCTAATAGAGTTAAACATATGTCTCCTCCAGGACCTGGCAATCTCACTTCTAGGTGTGTAGCCAAGATAAATAAGTCCTTAAATCCACAAAAACATGCAAAAGAAGGTCCATAGCAGTTATCTTCATAACAATCAAAAAAAGGGAAAAATCTCAATATCTAGCAACAGGTTATGGAGAAACAATTTTAGTTTGCTCATATCATGAATGCCTTTTATCAGTAAAAAAAAAAAAGAACGAGCTACTGATACATGGGGCAACATGGACGAATCTCAAAAACAAATGCGAAAGAATGTATGATTCCATTTATATAAAGTGCAATAAGAAGAAAAACTAGTTTATTGTGATAAATATCAGTTCAGTGCTTATTTCTTGGAGGATGTTGACTGGAAAAGAAAGTAGAGGTGATGGAAGCGTTCTCTGTCTTGATCTGGGTTATGGTTTCATAGGTATATTTACATATTTTAAATCATTGAGCTGTACTTTTAAAATGTGTACATTTTACTGTGTGTAACTTATACCTTGGTAAATAAGGGGGCTGGCCCCGTGGCATGGTGGTTAAGTTTGCATGCTCCACTTTGGTGGCCTGGAGTTCACAGGTTTGGATCCCAGGCACAGACCTAGCACCGCTCGTCAAGCCCTGCTGTGGTGGCATCCCACATAAAATAGTGGAAGATTGGCACAGATGTTAGCCCAGTGACAATCTTCCTCAAGCAAAAAGGGGAAGATTGGCAACAGGTGTTAGCTCAGGGCCAATCTTCCTCACAAAAAAAAAAAAAAAAAAAAAAAAGGAAGAAGAAAACATTTTGGTTATGATGAAAAAAAGAGAGGGCCCCAAACTCACTGACAAGGCTTTGAGATGCTGGGAATCTCTGGTGGCCACTTCCTTGAAGTACACAGATGGTGTGCCCAGTGCAAAGGATGGTGGCTGGGGAAAGGGACAGAACAACCAATGGCAGAGTGCCACAAACTCCAAGCAAGGTGGGGATCCAGGGTGGGACTGGCCCTTTCCGCATCTCCTCTATGAACTGGTGTCTCACGCTTTGACCTCTGCGTCTTCTTATCTCTTGCTCTCCAGGAGCTTCAGAAATATGAGCAATTCATCTTTGCAGATCACACCAATATGATCCACGTTGGAAACGTCTATGAGGAGATTTTACATCAGATCCTCCTTGATGAAACTCTGAAAGGTAAGGAAGATTTGTCCGGTGCTAGAGAGAACTCTAGATAGACGGGAGCACCCAGTAAGTCAGACAGGTTTTATCAACACGAATGAAAGGTGAAGAGGAGGGGAGACAGAGAGGAAAGGGACGGATACTAACTTTAAGCGTTCATGATTTGGCACACGCCGTGCTGGCCCATTTAGACGTTATTTCTCTTTCAATACAAATAAGAACTCTGTGAGGTGGGAATGTTAAGCTTCGTTTTTCAGATGAGAAAACTAAGATCTTGAGAGATCAAACCGAGGGTGTCTCGTGAACAGCTCTCTTCCTCCAGCTGTTCCAGACAGAACAAAGGAAAGAGGGCTCTTCCAAGCCACAGGCCCACAACCCCTCCCAGAGCTGAGAGGAGGTGACTCCAGTGGCAGGGCCTACCAGCTGCTCTCTCAGCACATTCCTCACCTCCTCTCAGCTGTATAGAAAAAGACACAGGGCGATGACACAGGACTCTGTGAGCCTTGTTCGGACTCTGGCACCCCGTGTCCTGTGGAATCAGGCCATGCTTGAGATAGGAGTGTGGCTAGGAAAATTTTGATAGAAATATGCTGGAGGGGGCCATCCATGGAAGTGGAGGCCTGAAAAGTCTCTGGTCTCCATGGGGAAGGTATTGAGTATTGCAAAAACTCCTCCACAAAGAAAACTGGCGAGGCACAAGCCCCAGATCACAGTAGCTGATCTCAGGGGATCCAATGAGATAAGGAATGTCAGGATGTCCGTGTAGTTTCTGCACAAAGGCAGGGCTCAGTCAAAGCCACTGCCAGTCCACCACGCACCTTTGGGCGAATTAGAAAGAGCCTCCTCTAGACATTTGACTGCTCTCTGTCCAAAAATTACCATGGCATCCTGATTTTGTTAGAGCAGGACATTCTACTGCTGGCGCCTGGGAAGTTACTATGTTGAATACACAAATCTAGGCTGTCTCTGATGGGAATGGCGCCCCCCTGGCTGTAATATGTTGGGCACTGTACAACCTGCACGGCCTTAAGCGGAGCCCGCTGGTCCAGAGTGTCAGCTGTTGTTATTATCATTGTTCTTAGTCCTCTCGAGGCCTCCGAGACTGAGCCGGATGTACATAGATCTTCATTTTGGACACTACAGGTCCACACGGCTGCCCCTGCATGCTCAGTACTGGGTATCGATTACACATTGAGGACTGTACTGTAAGAAAAAGCAGGGAGCTGTAAGCCTGGCCCTGCCCTCAAAGAGTTTCAGTCGGAGTGGACAAACTGGAACCACACACATTAGCAGCTAATAAAATGCGATGGGGGCCTCCAGGAGTGATGCACATGATACTGTTCATAGACTGTGAGCTCGTTGAAAGCAAAGGCCGTATTTTATTCCTCTTTGGATTCCCAGAGCCTGTCCCGTAGCTCATGCCCAGTAAATGTTTGCTATGTGAATAAGTGAATGAGCAAAGGAAGGAATGAATGAACACTACAGAGGTCCAGAGTTTGGAAGGAGTTTGTAGGCTTCCGTCACCAGGGAAGGCTACCAGGAAGAGCGTAGATGTGAGCTGGAACTTGAAATTGAGAAATTTGGATAGCCAGGAAAGCTGAGAGGGGAGTTCGGCTTCTGGATGAAATCAGAAAGTGCAGGGTGGCCAGGGCAGAGTGTTAATGGCATGTTTTGTTTTCTGGTATCTCTCAGTGATAAAGGAAGCTGCTATCCTGAAGAAACACAACTTATTTGAAGACAACATGGCCTTGCCCAGTGAGAGCGTGTCCAGCTTAACTGATCTAAAAACCCCCGTGGGGTCAAACCAGGCCAGCCCTGCCCGGAGAGCCTCGGCCATTCTGCCAGGAGGTCCAGATAGTGAGACACCAAGTAATGAAGTGTTCCAGGAGTCAGGGGAAAAGAAGCAGCCAGAAGTCCCTGGTCTATTGGCCAAAGAAGAAAGCCCCTCTTTGCCTGTGCCCAGTCCTCCCCCAAGTGGGGACCAGCAGGTCATTGTTTCAAGCCTGGATGACCCTGCGGTGAATCTTGTGGCTGCAGAGGACACAGCAGGAGCCCTGGGCACACATTCATCGGGACTGGAGTTTGGAGGGACTCCTGAGGACAAAGAAACCACCCATGAAAAGCCAGAATCCACCCCTGCCTCATGCTCCTTAAAGGAGCTCAGGAATTTGTTGACCGTGACCGTTGAAGTCCCAGTGGAGTCTGCCGCCCTCGTGACTGAAAAGGATACAAATCAAGAGACTCTTGTTCCCCAAGAAATCGGAAAAGAGGGAGAAACAACTCAAACCTACACAGAAGCCAATCAAGCAGCTGCCTCCAGTCAGAACAGCTGTGAGGAAAGTGAAGTCACGGGGAGGGAGGCCCAGGCTCCCCCTCCAGAGGCCGAGGCCGGTGGCGTGGAGTTGCAGGGATTTCCAGAGGCTCAGCCAGCCTGCGGGGGCCTCAGCGAGGGTGCCAGCAGCCTTGGCCCCACAGAGGAGCCAACAGAGGCCGGGGAGCCCACTCAGACGGAGCTCCCAGAGACAGCTTCCAGACTGGACGCCCACGAAGGAGGAGGGACCACGTGCGCTGGGGATGGGGAGGCTGAACCCCAAGGAGATTGCATTTTCAGTTCTGATCCCATCAGCCCCAGTGCGAGCCGTCTGTCCACGGAAGAAGAAGCAGTGGGAGAGGAAAGCAGCATGCCCCAGGCTCCTGCCAGCGTGGATGCAGTGGAGGTGAAGCCTGCCCATGTTCATGAGTGTCAGTGGGTGGTCGAGAATCCTCCAAACGTCGATGTCCCAGATTCAGAGAAAGAGGATGTGAACGAGAGTACCCCAGAGCAGCCTTCCGAGGAGTGAAACAACTTGGCAAAAGTATCTTATTAAACAAACTCAGCCAAAGCGTTATAGTCATATGTACACTTAGGGGTTGCATGCAGTGTTACCAAAAAAATTTTATTAAGGACTTCCTTAATTTGTATAATGAAACCAAAGGAAACACACACAGGGCAAACCTTTGTGGAACTGAGCTGTTCTACCGTGAATTATTGCTTTAGCATTTTAATAGGAATTACAAAGGTAATGGAGTGGGGTGAGAGGCAGCCGAGGGTGTCCAAGGGACGCAGTGGTGTTGCAGTGGAGACTGAGAAAACAGTAGGACCATGGTTTTCAATACACTCTGCATATTTGCTTCTGATGCACTTGAAGGCTTTTAAATTTTTGTAAGAATGCAAATATATACTGTAGATCCAGCTTCACCATCTACTATACCAACTTCGCTGTCTCTTAAGGACTCAGCATTCATCCACAGCCAGGCTGCAAGGAAGGGTGGGGGTGAACACCAGTGCCCCCTGCTATGTGCAGCCCCAAAGAGCCTGAGAGGTCTCAGGGGAAGTTGAGTGAAAATGGAGGAAGGTCGTTGTCTGTGGGACTGTCTGGGCCTGTTCCTAACTCTGCTATCAATTTCTTTTTAATTAATCTTGTTGATTCTTATTAATTAATCACCTTTTGGGGCAATTCAGATGAGGCAAGAAAATTGCCTTGGCATGTTTAAGCTTGAAAGCCTTCCAAATTAGCCTCAGACTGCGCAGAGAAAGAGCCCAGCTAAATTATGGAGCGCAAAGCCTTCCAATTAAATAAACATTATTTGAACAGCTACTCTATGCCACATGCTGTGTTAGGCATAGTAACAAAAAAAAAAGCAAAGATAAGGTGCTTTGTCTAGTATAAATTAAAAGGCCCAAGGGAATTTAATCTAGAAGGAAAAAATAGGCCAATTTTCAAACCATGACAGCTTTCCGTCTTTCCATTGAAACAGTCCCGGTTCATTCCCAGAAGGGAATAAAGTTAAATAAATGAGTTAATAAGAAAGAAAGGAAGGAAGGGAGAAAGAAAGAGACGGAGAGACCGAGAAGCCAAGATATATAGCATTAAGTTCCAAAGATGTTACCAAAAGTGGAAATTATTTGTTCAGTTTTTCAGCAAGTTAATTGGGTCCCTGTTATGTCCCGGGCGCTGGGATACTGTGGTGAAAAAGACTCTGTTCCCTTCTCCCCAAACTTAACGCTTAAATGGAAATAGACAGAAATATATCTTCTAAATGGATTGTGATCTCTAACTGTTAATGTTTAAGGAGGAATGGACTTAGTTGCAAAAGATTAAAAAGATGTGTTCTCTTGTCCCTTAGAAAAATACCAGATTATTTTCTAAAAGCTTCCAGGTATTACGTCATGAAATTTCCTTCCACAAATTTTAATGTTAGATCCCAACAAACTGTCCTAACAATATATTTTGGTCATCATCAGCAAATAAGTTTATATCGGTTTTTTAGAGAATTTGTCTCACAGTTTAACCATTTAGCCAGGAATTAAATATCTCCCTTTCCACCTCCCCATAAAGAATTTCTTGGATTTCTAGGTCATAAAGGATGAAAAAATAATCAGGATCAGTCTACTCTAATGTTGAATTTTTTTAACTTTTCTTCACATGTTTAGATCCTCACGTCTACAAAGAATCTCCTTATAGATGAAGGAAGTAGTGGCCACTCCTGGTCTGTGAAGTACCCAGTGCTCATTCATCTCCTTGCATTTAGCGTGGAATATTGAAATTCTGTTTACTTCCTGTCTCTCCCAGGGTCAAGTCTCTTCAAGGACAGCTACTAGGGTTTAGTCATCATATGTGTTTCCTGCTAGAAACACACAGCCTTGAATAATGGCTCCCTGCCTCTTCAAGTCACTTTAATATCCTAGTGCCTCACAAGGACCCGGCCTGTGTCGCTGCTCAGGAAATGTGAGAACGGAACACCCGCCACACCGCTGTGCTGGGGCTATTTGGGGCTTGTTGTCAGGCAGGGAGATGTTTTTAATTGGGCTTTCTGTCCTTGGGGAGTCTTCCCTTAAATAAAGTCCAAAGTCCAAGCGGCAGATGGCCAGATGGTTGGATGCACTGCCAAGTAAGGCCAGGAGCCACAGGAGCAGTGCCGGGCCGGGGCAAAGCCTGACCTTCTCACCAGGAGAATTGCGGTGAGGGACGAGGTCCCAGCCCAGGCGGAGCCCACGCAGCTTCCCAGCTTCCTCCCTTTGCTCACCTCTGGGCTTCTTGAACCCTTGGAAAGCTAGGAGACTTTTCCAACCATAAGAGAGAGAGAACGTTTCACTGCGTTGGATGAATGAACATCAGTGCCCTCCTTTTACCCATCCTGTAGGCCGGAGGGGACCAGGCACTAAGTGGAAGGACGTACTGGAGAACACAAAGAATTCTTCTGTACGTATTTCACCAAAGGCAAGATCACTAGACTAAGGAGAATGATTGCTCCATTTGAAGATGGAACAGGAAACTGAAGTGCATTAAAAACAGTCCTTATTCGTTTTAGCATGCTGACAGAAATAACTGCATATTGCTATGAGTTCGTCTTGCTTTTGATACAGGCTCGTATGTGTTGCTTCAGTAGTTTCCAGGTTGGAGAAAGGTTATCGTGATTTAAATAAACAGCATGAAAAGCTGCTGCATGCTGCTCTGGGGATCTCTTCTATGGGCAAATCCATTAGAAATGCGTAAAACCTCAAGACGTGATTTGTGGCAAAAATTCCATGACCTTAAATGAGTTATGTTACTATTGACCTTTCACAGAGAAAAAACATTTTCCTTGAAAAAAATTAGTTTGTCATTTTTTCCTTTGCAGCATAGAGCAGTGCCTTGCATAGTGCAGAGTAAACTCTATTTTCAAAAAAAGTATTTTGGAGACCACAAGGATAAGATTCCAGTTGGTCCAAAAGCTTTATAAAGAGGCTGAGCTTGAGGAACAGGTGTTTAGGCCCCATCTTCTATATTTTAGTACAGAGTTTCTCAAATCTGGTTCTATAACCCTCCAGATTGGAGCCAGTGATATCAAAAGGTTTCACAAGTCTCCCAGACAAGTGATTTTATTTCTTTATAAAAAGTGCTAAATGATAGATGCTACCTAGCAATTTTAATAGGGGGAAGGGAAGGACATAAATGACTACAACAGTCATACAGCTTCACTAGGTAAAAAGTTGGCTACATATGCCTTCTTACTTTGCTATAAACAAATGGGTTCGACGATCTGCCTTCTGAAATCTACAACTTCAAGAAATAAAAATCTACACTGTGGATTGATTTTTCTGGTCACTATATAAAGCAAATAAACTTAAAACACTTTGTAACCACATATTTACTCTGCAGAGTGCCTATATTCCAATAAAATGTTCTTCTTTGAAGAGGTGTCCGGATGTCGTATTTATTTGGAATGGGGCTGGTTTCATCTTTTAAGCAAACGTCATACTTGAGCTGGGACAAACAGCCCTCAGAGATGAAAAGATGAGTCACTGTTGCTGCATTACAGAACTTTTGTTTCTCTGTCATCAGGAAGGAATCCACAGGGAAGTCACTTCATGTCAGGTGTAATTCTGCTTTAAAAATGCATATGCTTATTTCTCTAGGAATTGGATTATGTCTATAACACAGCAGTGGGCAATTACTTGTGACGTAATTGAACTGCTGTTCAAACAAATGTATTTTCAATGGGTAACGTTAAGCGAAACATTCATTCATTCTATAATTATAAAGAAAACAGGGGGCCAGCCCCGTGGCCAAGTGGTTTAAGTTCGCGTGCTCCACTCTGGAGGTGCAGGGTTTCACCGGCTCGGATCCTGGGCGTGGACCCAGCACGGCTCATCAGGCCATGCTGAGGTGGCATCCCACATAGCACAATCAGAAAGACCTACAACTAGAATATACAACTATGTACTGGGGGCTTTGGGGAGAAGAGGAACAAAAAAAGAGAAGAAGATTGGCAACAGATGTTAGCTCAGATGCCAATCCTGATAAAAACAAAAAAGAGGTCAGAGTGGGAGCCAAGTGTCAAAAAGAATCAGCACCTTCTGCCAAGAAACTCATCACCTCCAGGTCTAGGAGATCTGGCTCCATGGAGGCTGCAGGGTGGGGTGGTTACTGTCTAGGTGTCAGATAAAACTTTAAAATCCTGCCCTCACCACTCATTAAAAAAAGAAAAGGAAAGAAAACAATATTTACTCACCAATATCCACAGCTGCTTATTCATCCATCCAAAAAATAATGACTGTGTATCTGTTATATGTGGGTGTTCTGTTGGGTACTGGAGAAACAGAGGTGAACATGGTGGACATGATCCCTGACATCAGCAAACTCAAATTCTCACAGTGGACATGGCCAGGGAGAGCCCAGAATGGGTATTTGCCTCCTTGACTGGCATAAGCCTTGTGTATAATCTCAGCCTTAACTCTGTCTACACCTACAGCTTCAGGTAAGAGAAGAAGAAACATTGGAGAAATCAAGTCCAACAGTGATGGGGACACAGTGTGGCATAAACTTCACCTCTCCCTCTCCTGCTTCCATACCAAACTTCTGGTCTGCAAGAATCGTTTCCAGAGCGGCTCCTCCAGAACTTCCATCTAGGGCCAATAATCAGATTGGAATCGGAGGTGAAAGGGTTGATTCGAAACTCCTTTTCATAGTTTTTTCTTAGATTATATGTTTATTTGGTGTGGCTTGGGTGGAGGTCTTGGGAGGAGTCAGCTAGAGCTCTTCTCTCATCAGCCATGCTTGGGCCACTCCTACTTGACATAGTAAAAAAGTCTCAACCTTTACCAAGAACATCTGACCCTTCCCTCTCCATCTGGCCAATTTCCACTTTAAGAGTCAGAACACGTCAAGAGAAATCCCCCATTTGGCCCCCACCCCCAATAACACTTTGCTGATCTCTCACCCTAATTCACTTGCCCACTTCTGGTCATCCTCTCTCGCTCCATGACAGCCATCTACCTTCCCTCTGCCTTTGGGGCAGGGACCCTGCCTTCAATCTTTGTATCTCTAGCAGAGGATAGTTTCTTGTATGTGCTCAATAAACGTTGAATAAAGGAATAAATGTCACTGATCCCAGAAATAGGAGACAGGTGGAGATATAGCTGGTGATTCCCTTGCACACCCTAAAGATCTGTGACACTGGTAACTTTACTCACCCTCAGCCTACTGAGAGAGTTCTGCTTTACTGATGGAACTTGGTCATGTGTTTGCACACACCCATCCTTCTGGGAGGGAGTGTCAGTGCCACCTTGCCCCCCAGTCAAGCTAGCTACTATGAACCACCTCCTAGTTTTCAGGACAGTAGCCTCCACTGGATTTTCCTGAGGTCCCTATGACGTCAACAAAGCAAGAAAAACTAAGAAGTTTGTCCTTGAATTGCCTCTAAGTCTGTGAAACACAAGTAAATGCCCAAGAATTAATGGACAGCATCTGCCTTCTGGCAAGCCTTCCTCTTGAGAATGGGCAAGGAGCAGGGGAGAAAACGTAGTCCCTGCTTTTAGGGAACTCCATCCAGTTGGGAAGACTGAGAGGCAAATGGTGGTTCTGCAAGACGAGGAGGAAAGGTTCTGGCTGCACGAGTGGCAACTAAGGACCATACTCTACAAACTACAGGTGTGATTGTTGGACCTAAAAAGCCTGCCCTGTATTCCTCGCCTCTTTTACTTCTTCTCTGTCATGGACAAAATCCAAAGTCCTAAAAAGCTTGCTGATACCCTGAAGAAATTTTTATCAAGATCTCTTTCTGCCAGCCTCTGCATGCTCTTTCCAGGAATCTTGAGTCCTCCATGGACGCCCTTCCAGACCTTCTGCCGATCTGGTGGTATTTCCCCCGCTCCGGTCTCTACATGAAGGGATGTGCATATGTAGAGGTGAGGGCTCTGTTTGTATTAGCAATTCCAAGACACAGTTTGGGTAGGAAAGTGGGTTTATGCATTGGGGAATTCTTATAAGACACTGAGGTGATTTTGAAGCTGAGAGCTGACCTCTCCTGGTAGGACTTCCCACTTTGTTCTGTGCTGCTGCCTGAATCCTGTGGGGGACAGTTTTTCTGTCCATTGGTTTGAGAGAGATCATGTGGAGGAAAAGGAGGGTGTTCTCATTTCTGTCTTTTGGAGGCTTCAAGTTTTGAAACCTTGAATTTTTGATTCAGGTCTTAGAATAAACAATGTTTTCCATGTACTGTCAGGATTCATTCATGGATTAATATTTTCAAAAAATATTTATTGATATCTACTAAGGTGCCATGGACTCTGCCAGGCTCTGGGAATAGAGGGGAGAAAAAAACAATCAGCCCCTGTGGGTTATCTTTTCTTCACTGCAAATTTTAATTATTCACCTGAAGGAAATACTCAATGCCAATGAGCCTCCCCACCTTTCGGATCACATTTTAGAATTCTTCACTGTTTGCTTGTAAACTTGATTTACCGTGTTTGAGGTCCTTTATGAGAAAATTGTATGGCTGTCAACTTACTGTGTGAACGTGGGCTCATCACTTAACCTTTACAAGAATTTGTTTGTCAAATGGGAATAATAACACCCACATCACAAGGATATTGTGAGGATTAAATGAGATAACGTGTAATAGACATTTAAGCACAGATGAATAAAATGGGGCTTAGAGAAGTTAAGCAACTCCCTGAAAGTTACACAGCTAGTAACTAGTTGAACCAGGTGTATCATTTAGCAATCGCTACCCAAAAAAACACTGCAAAACTTAGTGGCTTAAACAGTAAGCACTTAGTATTGATCAGAAGACCACAGGTCAAGCACCAAGTAGACAGTTCTGATCTTGGCTGGCTTTCTCAATGTTTGGGAGCTGGCTAGCTGTATGCTGGTCTAGCCTAGGCACAGCTGGGACAGCTGGCCTCTATTCCATATGGTCTGTCATCTTTCAGCAGGCTGGTTCAGGCTGATTTTTGTGGCAGAAGCAAGGGGAAGAGAGAGAAAAGAAGCAAAAGCTTCCTGAGACCTGGGCTTGGAACTAGTGCAACATCACTTCTGCCATATTCTATTGGCCAAAGCAAGTCCCAAGGCTGGGCAAGATTCATGGGATGGGAAGAGCTGCAAAGTCACATTGCACTGGGCATGAGTCCAGGGAAACCATTAACTGGGACATCAGTGCAATCAGCCTACCTCACTTGGATTCAAATGACTCCTGCTTGACTCTAAAACCCATACTCTTGCCTCTGTACTGTACTAACTATAAACACTCACAGAGCCAGCGTTGGTCCCCCTCACTTACTTCCCCAATGTCTAGTGCTCCTCGAGCCCTACGCACCGTTAGGTGAACAAAACCCGATCATTTCCAACTCTAATCCTTTGATCTATCAAAGAATTTTGCTTTTTGCATTGGTTTTGAAAATGAATCTTCTGTTTAAAATATTTTTTAAAACTTATGCACCTCGTAAGCAGAAAAGTCTAAAAGAGATTTTTCTCCCTATTTTAGCAATAGAATTCACGTTGTTTATAGACTGCTGAGATTAATTATAACAAGATCAATGGTCATGGTCAACATTTAATTATCTCAAGATGAGTGAGAAAATTTGACCTGTGACAAAAAAAAGTATATAACTTCAGATAAACAAGCACAATTCTCTACAACAAACAGGCCAATAACAGATGCAGTTTTCTATAGCAAACAATCACAGTCTTCAGAAAAGGTCACAGTTTGGGGGCAATAACCAAAAACATGCACTCACTTTTGAAGGAAAGCTCTTTTCCCTTCTCAAAAGTAAAATAAAACAAAACCAAATTTTAAAACTAGCCAGAAACTCTATTTCCTGCCACCAAACAAATAAGGATAAATCTTACTTAAACCTTATCCTATCTGCTTAATATTCTTTATTCTCTGTAACTCTCAAGTAACTAATTTGTAAATGCTCCTAACCTCTCTCCTTCTCCTGTTAAAATATGACCCCCAAAATATAGCATTTCTTTTTCTTTTCTTTTTTTTTTAAATTTGAGTTCATAATAGTTTACATCATCGTGAAATTTCAGTTGTAGCTTATTTCTTGTCTGTCACCACATAAGTGCTCCCCTTCACCCCCTGTGCCCACCCCCCACCCCCTTCCCCTGGTAACCACTGAACTGTTTTCATTGTCTATGTGTTTGTTTATATTCCACGTATGAGTGAAGTCATCTGGTGTTTGTCTTTCTCAGTCTGGCTTATTTCACTTAGCATAATTCCCTCCAGGTCCATCCGTATTGCTGCAAATGGGATGATTTTGTCTTTTTTATGGCTGAGTAGTATTCCATTGCATATATATACCACATCTTCTTTATCCAATCATCAGCTGATGGGCACTTGGATTGTTTCCATGTCTTGGCTATTGTGAGTAGTGCTGCAATGAACATAGGGGTGCATATGTTACTTTGGATTGTTGATTTCAAGTTGTTTGGGGAGATACCCAGTCGTGGGATAGCTGGGTCATACGGTAGTTCTATTTTTCATTTTTTGAGGAATCTCCATACTGTTTTCCATAGTGGCTGCACCAGTTTGCATTCCCACCAGCACTGTATGAGGGTTCCCTTTTCTCCACATCCTCTCCAACATTTGTTGTTTTTAGTCTTAGTGATTATAGCCATTTTGACAGGTGTAAGGTGCTATCTTAGTGTAGTTTTGATTTGCATTTCCCTGGTGATTAGTGATGTTGAACATCTTTTCATGTGTTTATTGGCCATCTGTATATCTTCCTTGGAAAAATGCCTGTTCATATCCTCTGCCCATTTTTTGATCAGGCTGTTTGTTTTTTTGTTGTTCAGTTGTGTGAGTTCCTTATATATTGTGGAGATTAACCCCTTATTGGATATATGACTTGCAAATATTTTCTCCCAGTTGGTAGGTTGTCTTTTTGTTTTGATCCTAGTTTCTTTTGCCTTGCAGAAGCACTTTAGTCTGATGAAGTCCTGCTTGTTTATTTTTTCTTTTGTTTCTCTTGTCTGAGAAGACATGGTATTCAAAAAGATCCTTTTAAGTTCGATGTCAAAGAGTGTACTACCTATATTAGCTTCTAGGAGTTTTATGGTTACAGGATTTATCTTCAAGTCTTTGATCCATTTTGAGTTCATTTTTGTGTACGGCATGAGATAATGGTCTACTTTCATTCTTTTGCATGTGGCTGTCCAGTTTTCCCAACCCCATTTATTGAAGAGACTATCTTTTCTCCATTGTATGTTCTTTGCACCTTTGTTGAAGATTAGCTGTAGATGTGTGGTAGATGTGTGATTTTATTTCTGGGCTTTCAGTTCTGTTCCATTGATCTGTGTGTCTGTTTTTGTACCAGTACCATGCTGTTTTGATCACTATGGCTTTGTAGTACATGTTGAAGTCAGGCATTGTGATGCCTCCAGGTTTCTTCTTTTTTCTCAGTATTGCTTTAGCAATTTGGGGTCTTTGGTTGCTCTATATAAATTTTTGGATTCTTTGTTCTATTTCTGTGAAGAACATCATTAGGATTCTGATTGGGATTGCACTGAATCTGTAGATTGCTTTGGGTAGTACGGACGTTTTAACTATGTTTATTCTTCCAATCCACGTGCATGGAATCTCTTTCCATCTCTTTATGTTATTATCTATTTCTTTCAATAATATCTTATAGTTTTCATTGTATAAGTCATTCACCTTAGTTAAATTTATTCCTAGGTACTTTATTCTTCATTGCGATTATCAATGGAATTGTATTCTTGAGTTCTCTTTCTGTAAGTTCGCATGCTCTGCTCGGTGGCCCAGGGCTTTGCCGGTTCAGATCCTGGGCTCGGACATGGCACCGCTCATCAGGCCATGCTGAAGCGGCGTCCCACATAGCACACCAGAAGGACCTACAAGTAGAATATACAACTGTGTACTGCGGGACTTTGGGGGGCGGGGGCGGAGGAGGAGGAGGAGGAGGAGGAGGAGGAGAAGAAGAAGAAGAAGAGAAAGAAGATTGGCAACAGATGTTAGCTCAGGTGCCAATCTTTAAAAAAAACAAACAGAAAAACATGAATGTTTAAAAATATTTTAAATTTGAATTTACATTCGGCAGAAAGGCCCTCTGTTTTCCTGGAATCCCATAAGTTAGGGGGTTCTTTGGGTGCATTTACTCCTATCCTTAGGCCCATTAACAACAGTGTGTAATTGGGAGTGATATAAGCGAAAGGGAAAAAGTCACTAGAAACCTTTGCCAAGTTAAAATTGGCCCCTAAGCTAATCACTTGATGAGTGCTGTTCTGAAGGGCTCTGCTGCCACCTTGAAGCTCTGATCTTGACTCAGATCTTCTTCACCAGAATTCCTGTGGTGACGCCCTGGCATCTGCCTGACCACCTTGCTGGCACTTTCTTCCCACCATGGAGGGCCAGGCACCTGGACATGGCAAGATCTGACAGCCTGCCCAGTAGGCAGTTAGGAACTCCTAGTTCTATTTTCAGCCATGTCTTACTGAGGAATCCCCCAAGAGGTCTAACATGAAAGACAACTTTACTTAGGCCCATTACTGCTTGCTTGATATGCCTTAAGAAATTACAAATATGAGAGATCACACTCATTAAGGCACAACATGACGTGCTGTGAAAAACACAACATATGGTTATTTGAGGTCTGAAAAGCCTATTGAGTTTTAAATTTTTCATCTGAATATCCTTTGATGTATAAACGTATCCTTTTATATTCTTTAAAAAACAGTGGTTTCTAGATCAAAACCACAGATGAAAACTTTCTCTCAATGGGTAAATATCACCTGAAGATAAAGTTGCTAGATCCCTTTAAGGAGATGAGATGAAACACATGGACACAAAGCATTTTAAACACAGCTCCATGAACCAGACAATCTCATAATTACTCTTTAAAATTTAGTAAACCCATAAAATTTGGAGAGACACTCCTTTAAATGAAATAGTTTTCATTCCTAGTTATAATAGTTATCATGGAAGAGTAACTTTGTTCCACTTGATTAAAACTGGTGACCCTTTATAAATTATATACAGCTGCCATCAGGAATCTATTTTGAAAAATATTTGTTCAGAATCAGCAGTGCTGCGGTAAAATCCTTCAGAGCAGGGATTATGCATGAAATTTTCTGCTTACCTCTTGCTAACGAAACTAGTGCTAAAACGTAAGCGGTGAGGTTGATTGTGAAGTATGTAGACTTCGCTTTCTTCTCCTCCATTATTTGCCTGGACCTTTGTCTCCCATCCCTAGGCCTTTAGCTAGAATTTGTTTTGAAGCATTTCTCTCTCTGTAGTATTTTAGATGCTCCAATAAGATATTAGTTACCAAGTGCTAATCTTCCCATCTCAGTCAATGCTATTTTGCATGCAAGTAACAAAAGCCTACTCAAACTAGCCTAGGCCAAAAGAGGAGAGTTTATTTTACGGTTATAGAAGTATCTCAGGGAAGCTAAAGAACCCAAATTCCACCAGGAGATCATTTCTCTGTCTTTCTCTCTCTCTGAGGCTACCTGGTCTCTCATTTTTGCTTCTCTCTGCACATCTGCTCCATTCTCGTTTATCTGCAATGTAGCTCTCTCTACTTTTCTGTACACAGGGAGGACTGTGACTAACTCATAGCCTCTGAGTTTATTTATCCCCATTTCTAGGAACCAGCAAAGACTATCAATTCTGAATCTCACTTCCAAATTCCTGGGAGAGAGATTCTGTGAGGCCCAGTTTGGGTCAGGTGTCTACCCCTAGTCCAGATCAGTCAGGGGGTGAGGTGACATGGCACACCTCTGGCCTAGAGCTTCTTAAATTTATTTGAACACAGAATATTATCCACTCCCAGACCCTGGCTTTGGGGGAGGGTAACGTGAAGTACACCCATTTATATCCTTCAGAATAGAATTCCTCAAGATATCAGTTTAGGATGTTCTGATCTGTTTTACTATTTTAATTTTAGGGGTGGGCAAACTTGGACCCAAAGAGACAAAATAACTTGCTTAAGTTACCAAGATAGTGGCAGAGTCGGGATTATGATTTAGAGCTGAGAAACTTGACATGCTATACCTTTATTCCAACCAGGATACCAAGAAAAAGTAGAATGGCCAAATGGGCCAAAAGTAAAGAATAAAAGTTGACTATTTCCTTCCCCTCTCCTCAGCTAGTTTATAAACTAACGCTTTTTATCACAAGCAAGGTTGGATTCATTTCCTAAAGCTGCCATAACAAGTTACCACAAACTTTGTGGCTTAAAGCAACAGAAATTTATTTTCTCATAGTTCTGGAAGCCAGAAGTGCGAAACCAAGTGTTGGCAAAGCCGTGCTCCCTCTAAAAGGCTCTAGGGGCAAACTCTTTCTTCCTCTGCCGGCTTTTGGCGGCTCCAGGTTCTTTGGTTTGTGGCTGCATCATCCAATCTCTGCTTCAGTCTTCACATGGCCTTCTCTTCCATTTCTTATAAGAACAATTGTCATTGGCTTTAGGGCCCACCAAGATAATCCAGAAAATTAAGGATCTCACTTTGATCCTTACTTTAATTATATCTACAAAGACCCTTTATCCAAATAAGATCACACAGGTTACAGGGGTGAGGAATGGATATATCTTTTGGGGGCCACCATTGAAACCACTACAAAGGCCTTATGAGGTATCATAAAGTACTTCAAAACACCAAGAGGGTGGCAAAAGAGAAGGGATGAAAGGGTAATGATTTGGGATTTTTCTTCTCAAAAACGAAGGATGCAGAGTTGTGAAAGAAAATGTAGTAGAATTTGAATAAAATACAGTATCCTATTTTCCAGGATGTAAAATTTACATTCCTAGATATTCCGTGATTCATTCATTCATCTAACATTTGGGCCATGCTTTTCAACCTATCACACAAGTGTGGTGCGTTTTTCTTTGTAAAAAACCTTTCCTGACAAAAAATTGTTTGATATGACAATTCACATAATATGAGTTTTGCTACACCATCATAAAAATCATTCTTTGAAGGGCTTCATCAATTTTCTTCTGGTGCTTCTCAATCCTTCGGGATTTAAATCACTCTTTTTGGGAGAACATATTGTATGCCAGAGACACTGGTGTTAAACTGAAAATGATGTTTGAGTGCAGACTAACTTTTTTAGAGGTGGGTTCATTAGTGAATATTTTCATCTTACAACGACTCTTGCTTTCCTCCACAAAGTTGTATTTGCAGAGATCTAGAGGATGAATATTCTGATAAAAAAAATTTCTATTGACAAATGAGAATATGTCAAACAAGTAAGAGGAACAGGAATTGTTCTGTTTGCACTGGAGAGGAGTAGACTTGAGCTGGAACAGATGGAGGTGGCATGATACTGTTTATAGTTCCTTACACAATACTTTGCAATTTGTAAGCTGAATTAAACGGTGGGACTCATATGGAAAGAAGGATTAGGCTGAATTATTCTAAAGGGAAAATGTCTTAGAAGAAGTTGAAAGTACAGAGAGCCAAATTTCTTCCCACTATAAAGAAAGGGTTTCTGATAGTTAGAATTGTCCATAAATGGAAAGGGTCATCATGCAGAGTAATAAGACATCCACCATTAGAAATTTTTCAACCCTAGGCCAATAACTCTGGGATACACTATTGGTGTCCTCACATTGATTTGGGGTATAAGAGAGTGTAGGGTGGAGAGGCCATTGGTTTGAAACTCTATGCACTTTGAACTAAGACAATGTACCATAGAATAGACCAATTCAAGCCTGGAAAGAGAGATTGTCTATCCTTTCTCTTATGTAGCAACTAAATCAGCAGCATCCAACAGAAATATGACATGAATCACAATGTAATTTAAAATTTTCTAGTAGTCCCATTAAAAAAGTGGAAAGAAACAGGTGAAATTAATCTTCATAATATATTTTATTTAACCCAAAATATCTAAAATATTATCACTTAAACATGCAATCAATGCTAAAAATTATCATATATTCTACATTATTTTTTCATAACAAGTCTTCCAAATCCAGTATATATTTATACTTATGAACTAACCACATTTCAAGTGCTCAGTGGCCACATGTGGCTATGGCTACCATATTGGACAGTACAGTTCTAGAATATGCTGTTCATGAAATCATGAATCACATTTCTGGGAGTAAAATAAAAATCTTCAGGAATGTGCACAAAAATGGGTTCTGTAATCCAGGGTCCCTGGCATACTGGGGGAAGGGAAGTGATGGGAAAACACTTCTGTTTAACTGGTGTACATTCACACTTCCGTGGGTAACTTCTCCCATAATTTCCCTGCTTTTCCACCAAAACCTAATATTAAGCAAATTAAATAACTTTGCAAACCACTAAGTTTTCTTATCAGCTTCTAACAGGCTTCACCTTTCTAAAAGCGGAACAGAAAATAGCAGTCCTCTAGTACTTTTATGTTACTCCTACTTTTTAGAAGTATTTAATATTTAATTCACTTATTTAACTTTATTCTTAATTTAATTCTTTTATTTTATTCTTTTATTGCAGGAGCAACTGCAATGACTGATAATACAGCTTTTACTGTTTACTAGCCGTGTCTCTTAGTACCACGGGATTTAAATACTCTCAGGGGAAGCTGCCTTGGAGTATTTCCAGTAACGCATTATCTCTACGCATCTCATACAGAGGAGAAAGGATAAGGAAATCATAAAGATAAGTTGGGCTACCTTTGTAATTACAAAATTTCCCCAAGTCTCAGTCAAAATAATGATATTTTTTAACACCTCTGTAAAGAGTTCCTATTATTTATTTACAGCATTTAGAGATTTGACAGATAAACTATATATAAAAGCAAAATTAAAATGAGACTTCTTCCATAGTTAATCCATTTTAGGAATCCACAAGCATATCAAACACTTATATTTGCATCTTCACTCTAAGTATAATCATGAGTGTGAAAACACCAAAGCAAGAGTTTGTCACAGGCTGGCAAGCATCTCCCAATACTTGTGACTCTCTTCTCCTTTCTCATTACAGAATCTCCGGAGTTTAAGCTGGGCACTTGGCTGCCCAGCTAACAATCTCAGCTTTTCTTGAAGCCAGTTTCCTCCACAAACTTGTATTAACTCCTTTCCAATGAGATGAAAGCGTAAGTGATATGTGCAACACCTTGGTCACATCTTTCATAGAAGAAACTGCTTGTCCTCCTCTCTCTCTTTCCCCTTCAGGCCAACTGGAAGGTTTATGTGATGCTGGTGAAGCAGCTTCTCCCATAGAGACGCCTACCAGGGGATAGAATAGCAACCTGAGTTCCTGGATGACTTTGTGGAGTAGAATTGCCTGTCAGCCCTGAATCACCCACCTGCCTCTGAATGTTATCTGGGAGAGAAACAACTGTCCATCTTGTATAAATCACTGTATTTGGGATCTCTTGTAGGAGCTTGTCTTATACCATCACTAATACAAGACGTTAGCATCCTCATCACTATCACTTGTACTATGTTCAAAAGTTTTGTCTATTATTTTTAACCATCTAGGTATGAGACTATCTCCTTAAAAGACAGGGAGACTTGTTTTTTGTTTGTTTTTTAACTTAGACGGTTTCTATGATTACTCACTTGGGGGAATTGTTAGTATGAAATGATACAATACAGTATTTATAAAGTCTTTGTAAACTTAAAAGGTTTGCAAATAAGAAATTGTGTTAATCTTGAGCTAACAGTCCGTTAATGGTGTTTCTGCAAACATTTTAACCAGCTAAGGTGGCCCACCTCCCAGGTAACAATCCAGTCAACAGGCACTGGCTTCCAGAATGATTGGATTTCGGGCATTGTAATATAGCAGAAAGAGGGATGCTGAAGCATACAGAGACATACATCTTTTCAATTACTCCATGGAAGTGGCTGCTTACTTTCCTGTGTATCAAGTTGGCTCTAGTTATTTGGGAAACTGATTCAGTTCACCACTTAAAGGAGACTTTATAAAATGGCCTCATAAAGTGCTACTGTCTGATTTCATATGTGTTTCACCTGTTAACATAAAGGCAAACTAATTAAACCTGCCATTGGCATATCATTTTATTAATTTTTACTTCACTCCTCTCAAATCATGGAATGGATATAATTTTTCTGTCAACATTTGCTGAATATCCACTGCATACAGAACCCACCCTGAAGGAATTTGCAAGTAAGATAAGGACCTTTCAGTCCTTATCTCACTTGACCTTTCTGCAGCATGGGCCGATATTTGTCACTCCCTCCTTGAAGCTTTCTCATCCTTTGACTTCTGTGACTCTTCTCTCTGGTTTGCTTCCAAACTTTCTGATCTTTTCTTTGCTACTCTTCCACTTTTTATTTTTATTTTTTTAATTAATTAATTAATTAAATTTTTTTTTTTTGAGGAAGATTAGCCCTGAGCCAACATCTGCTGCTAATCCTCCTCTTTTTGCTGAGGAATACTGGCCCTAAGCTAACATCTGTGCCTGTCTTCCTCTACTTTATAAGTGGGATGCCTGCCACAGCATGGCTTTTTGCCAAGTGGTGCCATGTCCGCACCTGGGATCTGAACTGGTGAACCCCAGGCCGCTGAAGCGGAATGTGCACACTTAACCGCTGTGCCACCGCTACTGTGCAGGCCCCTCTTCCACTTTTTAAATGTTAGAGATTCTCAGTGTTCCTTCCTGACCCTTCTCTTTTCACCCTTCATTCTTAGCCTTTTTGGAGTCATGAACCTCTTGGAGAATGTGATGAAGTACATTCCGGGGGGAGGGCCTGTTGCATATAATTCTAGGATTACATGGACGTCCTGAAGCAACTGATGACTCCGGAAGGGTCCTTACCCCTCAGGGTAAGAACTACTTTTCCATGGCTTTAACTACCACCTATGGCGCTTGATGACTCTCAGAGCTTTTCCATTTAGCTGGGATCTCTCTCTCTCTTGATCTCCAGACCCATTTATCCAGCTGCTTATTGCATTCTTTCACTTGGATGTCAGTCACCTTAAACTCAAACTCATCATGTCCCAATTGAACTTGTAGGGGAGAAAGACCTTTCCTCTACCCATTCTGGGTCCTTCTGACTGGACAATGAATTAAATTCACATGAAACAGAATAACAGAAGAAAATTAAACAAAGCTTTATAACATGTATACATGGGAGAGGCTCAGACAAACTGAGCAACTCACCAAAATGGCAGAAGCCCTAACCTTAAATACCACCCTCAGGTAAAGACAAAGGAGGATATAGGGGATTGGGGGAGTCAGTTATGGGAGATTACCAGAAAAGCACAGTAAACAAGAGTAAGATTATTATGCAGATTTAAGTCCTTGCCTTCCTCCTTGATAAGAGTTTCTAGGGATAAGGTCATTCCTCCTTCTTCCTGGTACAGAGAGGGAGACACTTTTACAGATGGAGATTTCCTTTACAAATGTAAATGTCTCTTAACAAAGGGTAAGTAAATTCTGCTTTTCAGAGTTTCTTTCCTGTCTGCAGCTTTTAAAAGTAACCAGCCCGGGGCCGACCCCATGGCCAGTGGTGAGTGGTTGGGCTCCTGTGCTGCTCTGCTTCAGTGGCCCAGGGTTTCGCCAGTTCAGATCCTGCGCGAGGACATGGCACCGCTCATGGGGTCATGCTGGGGCAGCATCCCACGTGCCACAGCTGGAAGGACCCACAACTAAAAGTATACAACTATGTGCCAGGGGGCTTTGGGGAGAAAAAGGAAAAATAAAATCTTAAAAAAAAAAAGTAACCAGCCCCAAAATAATCCTCATGCCAAAGAGACATATCCTGGGCTGGCCAATTCCAGTCCCCCACGATCTCATCATCTATCCTTCTCTCCCTAAGTGCCCCTCATCCTATGGTTTCCATTTTGGTGAGCTGCATCACCGTCCAAGAGATCGCTCAAGTCATAAAAAATAAAAGCATCAGCCCAGATTACTACCTCTGAAAAAATGTTTGTTGAATGACTAAATTAATGAATGAATAGAAAAACAGGTCAAGGATGATGCAGAAAACAGAGAATAAATATTGAGAATGATATAATTGAGCTTATCTTCAAATGTGCACACAAGTGCTAAAGGCTGGTTTAATTAAAGTCTTCAACCAAATTAATATGTATTTATTAAGTGCCTATAAGTACAAGATAGACTTTAACAATATTTCAGGGAAATGAGGAACATGGTTTGTCAGAAAGTAGTAGTCATGGTATTTTAAGTGGGACAAACATTATTTACTTATGTTCAATTAATCTTACCTCATGACCAGGAAATGCTAAATTATTACTAGCTTCTCTAGGGTCTTGCTCCTTGTTACGATACCTTCAAAGATTTCATCATAGTTTATACACAGTAGCTATTCCAATGGATACTCAAGAAGATTGGGACACTTTTTGGAGTTTAAGGTCATTAAATCTGGCAGCTTTGTCTCCCTGCACTCCCTTAGCTCTTTACTTGAGGGCACTTATTTTCTGCTTCATTTTATGATAATTTGTGTGCATATCATCTCTCTCTTTATCAGAGAGGACCCCCACCCCCAAAGACTCTGTGCATACTCCATTTTATATCTGGAAGGAGAACAGTAAATGTTGAGTCAATGAATGTCTTTCCACATCCATAAAACTCACTTAAAGGTAATATGAAATGTCCTATAAGTAAATTGTGTTATAAAGTTTGTAATGTTTTCCAACATGAGAGCAGCATACTGAACATTTAAATAAGTTACAGATTTTTGTTTTAGTATTTTAAGGCAGCAGGGAACATGCCAACCCATCTTAGAAAATTGTTTGTGAGGCAAGGTATTGGCTGGTTGAATGCTGCCCCCAGGACCAGATTGCCCGGGTTTGAAACCTGGCTTTGCCACTCAATGGCTGGGAGGCCGAGGGCCTCTTGGTCCCTCTCTTTCCTCATTTGGAAAATGACAATCATAATAGTACTTATTTCACAGAATTGTTAAAAGGATGAAAAATAATGTATACACATAAAGCACCCAGAATGGTATTAGGACTCATTAGACCATAACCTTCATTTTCTTAGAATCCTAACAAGAAGAAAGGGGGTCACAATCATTTATTAGATCAGGAAAGAATGGAATTTTCCTCTTTGGAAAATGTGATATAGACAACATTTCTCCTATCTTCCCAGCTCAAAACACCCCCATGACCCCGACCGTGTCCATGACACCGCAAATGCTTAGTAGGTATTTTCAAGATGTAGGTAAGAGTGGAAACACATCTTATTACAAATCAAATAGATATAAGTTCCACGCAAATTGTGTTCTATGCTTTTTAGCATTCCCTACTCAAAAGACTTAGTTCCCCTCCCAGACTAAGGTAACACATTTTACTGTGTGGTTGTCTCCTTCTCCTCTCATCCCCAACCTCCCTCCCCAAAAAAGATTCCTAGAATTTAAAGAAAGAGATTGGATCTAAGCAAATCTAAGGCACAACGCAAAGAATTAATCCAAGAATTCCATGTTGTCTACCTGGCCTTGTTGACCTCCTTCAATGTTCTCAGTCCGCCATTGCTGCCAGTCACCATTAGCAAGACCTCAGGCGATGCCAGAGGTGGGAAGAGAGTGTGGCTGCAGCTTAAGAATAGTCAGCTTCAGAGAGGAGGCCAGCAAAAGCAACAGAACAGCAGCCTCTGATAGCCCTCCCAGTCATGGGATGATGAGTGACAGAGGGCTGCCTTCGCCTCACACAAGAGCACTTCTTAGTTCTGGAGGCCTGCTCACTACGGGTCACATGGTGATGTGTCTCTGCCACAGGGGAACCCACAGACAAGTAAAGGCCAGCATTTCTCAAGCCATACACATCCAAAGACAGCTGTCTTTATCATTTCGGGAAAAGGTCATGGCAGGGATAAGGGATTTTAGTTTTGCCTGGAAAAGAAATGTTCTTGGAGTAAATTTTCAATGCACCCTAGAGAAGTTCTTTCTAGTTCCCACAACTGACTGGTAAATCTAACGCTATACCAAAGGTGTGATTCTTTTTTTTAATTGAGGTATAATTGACATATAACATTGTATTAGTTTCAGGTGTACAACATAATGATTTGATACTTATATAATATTGCAAAATGATCACCACAATAAGTCTGGTTAAAACCCATCCATCACCACAAATAGTTACAAAATTTTTTTTCTTGGGGCCAGCAGTGGCGCAGCGGTTAAGTTCACACATTCCGCTTCTCAGTGGCCCAGGGTTCACCAGTTCAGATTCCGGGTGCGGACATGTCACCGCTTGGCAGAAAGTGATGCTGTGGTAGGCGTCCCACGTATAAAGTAGAGGAAGATGGGCATGGATGTTAGCTCAGGGCCAGTCTTCCTCAGCGAAAAGAGGAGGATTGGCAGTAGTTAGCTCAGGGCTAATCTTCCTCAAAAGAAAAAAATTCTTTTTTCTTGCAAAGAAAACTTTTTTTTTTTGGTGAGCAAGATTGTCACTGAGCTTAGATCTGTGCCAATCCTCCTCTATTTTGTATGTGGGCTTGGCTTGATGAGCAGATCGGTAGGTACACACCAGGGATCTGAACCCATGAACCCTAGGCTACTGAAGCAGAGTGTGCGAATTTAACCACTATGCCACCAGGCTGGCTACATGATGGAAACTTTTAAGGTCTACTCTCTTAGCAACTTTCAAAAAAGCAATACAGTATTATCAACTATAGTCACCATGCTGTACATTATACCCCCATGACTTGTTTATTTTATAACTGGAAGTTTGTAACCAAAGGTGTGAGTTTTATACTATACCTAAAGTGGTAAAATTTTGATGCAAAATTATTTTTTCCCCTTAGTGTTCCAGGGTAAGTATAAATGGAAACAGATAAAACAGACACCAAATGTAGTCAATATGAATGTCCTTGGGAAAACATGGTTGAAAGTATAGCTTAATTTCAATATTGGTCTTATCCTTCCTCCTATAATTTTCAGTGCATTTTATAACTGATTACTTCAGTCTGTCCAATTTCTTGGTGACTCATTATTACATCTTTCTTAGTAAAGCAGGAAACTTGTATTTCCTGTTAGCAGCACTTTCTTTTCCTGAATTTGTGCCACCCAATTACAT